ATGGAGATAGAAAACATAAAAAATAACCAGTCAATAACTGAAATGAAGCATACATTAGAGGTCCTGGCTGAGTAGCTCGGTTGGTTAGAGCATCATCGCAATAAGCCAAGATTACAGGTTCAGTCCTTGGTCAGGGCACAAACAAGAATCAACTAGTGCCCTGGCCAGTTTTGCTCAGCGGTTAGAGCGTCAGCCTGCGGTTCAGAGAGACCCGGGTTCGGTTCCCACTAAGGGAGCGTGCCTCGGTTGCAGTTTGTCCCCGGCCCGGGTTGGGCTGTGCGGGTGGCAGCCACTCGATGTGTCCCTTTCACGTCCATGTTTCTCTCTCTCTCTCTCCCTCCCACTCTATCTGAACAAAATATCGAAAAATGTCCTCGGGTGAGGATAAAAAAAAAAAATTAGCAAGGAAACACAGACTCTAAATGAAGCACTAGACCAAATGGATTTAATAGATATCTACAGAGAATTACACCCCAAAACTAGAGAATTCACATTCTTCTCAAGTGCACATGGGACATTTTCAAAGATAGACCACATGTTAGGACACAAACTAAGTCTCTACAAGTTCAAGAAGACTGAAATCATATCAAGCATCTCCTCAGATCACAATGGCATAAAACTAGAAATCAATTGCACCAAGAACATGCAAAGACATTTGAACACATGGAGGCTAAATGGCATGTTATTAAACAATGAATGGGGTTACCGAGGAGATCAAGGAAGCAATTAAAAGCTTCCTGGAAACCAATGAAAATGGACACACAACAACACAAAATCTATGGGATGCAGCAAAAGCAGTTCTGAGAGGGAAGTTCATAGCACTACAGGCCTACCTCAAGAAACAAGAAAAATTTCTAATAGATTATCTAACCTCACAACTTAAAGAACTAGAAAGCAAACAAAAAGAAAACCCCAGAGCAAGTAGAAGGAAGGAAATAGTAAAGATCAGAGCAGAAATAAATGACATAGAGACCAAAAAATCAATTCAAAGGATCAATGAAACAAAGAGCTGGTTTTTTGAAAAGATAAACAAGATCGATGGACCCTTAGCTAGACTCATCAAGAAACAAAGAGAGAGAACCCAAATACACAAAATCAGAAATGAAAGAGGAGAAGTAACAACCGACATCACAGAAATACAAAAGATTGTTAACAGCTACTATGAACAACTATATGGCAACAAATTCAACAATCTAAGTGAAATGGACAAATTTCTAGAAACACACAGTCTCCCAAAATTGGACCAGGAAGAGATAGAAAACTTAACAGACCAATAACAAATAAGGAAACTGAAGATGTAATCAAGACTCTCCCAGCAAACAAAAGCCCAGGCCCGGATGGCTTCACGGGGGAGTTTTACCAAACATTCAAAAAAGAACTAACACCCATTCTCCTCAAACTATTTCAAAAAATTCAAGAAGGAAGACTTCCAAACTCATTTTATGAGGCCAGCATAATTCTAATTTCAAAACCAGAAAAAGACACTACAAAGAAGGAAAACTACAGGCCAATATCCCTGATAAACAATATTCCTGATGCCAAAATCCTTAACAAAATACTAGCAAATCAGATCCAGCAATACATCAAAAAAAATTATTCACCATGACCAAGTGGGATTCATCCCAGGGATGCAAGGCTGGTACAATGTTCGCAAATCAATAAATGTGATACACCACATAAACAAAGTGAAGAATAAAAACCACATAATCATATCAATAGACGCTGAAAAAGCATTCGACAAAATCCAGCATCCATTTCTGATAAAAACACTCAGCAATGTGGGAATAGAGGGATCATATCTCAACATAATAAAGGCCATATATGAAAGACCTGCAACCAACATTATGCTCAATGGGCAAAAACTAAAAGCATTTCCCTTAAGAACAGGAACAAGTCAGGGATGCCCACTTTCACCAATCTTACTTAACATAGTACTGGAAGTCTTAGCCACAGCAATCAAACATGAAGAAAAAATAAAAGGGATCCAAATTGGAAAGGAGAAAGTGAAACTGTCATTATTTGCAGATGACATGATATTATACATAGAAAACCCTAAAGACTCCATCAAAAATGTACTAGACTTAATAAATGAATTTGGTAAAGTAGCAGGATACAAAATTAATGTCAAGAAATCAACAGCATTCTTATACACCAATGATGAAGTCACAGAAAAAGAAACTGAAAAAAGAACCCCATTTACCACTGCAGCAAAATAATTAAGATACCTAGGAATAAACCTCACCAAAGAAGTAAAGGACCTATTTGCAGAAAACTACAGGACATTGAAAAAAGAAATAGAGCCCTGGCCGGTTTGGCTCAGCGGTTAGAGCGTCGGCCTGCGGTCCTGAGAGACCCGGGTTCAGTTCCCGCTAAGGGCACGTACCTCGGTTGCAGTTTGTCCCCGGCCCTGGTCGGTTATGAGGGTGGCAGCCACTCGATGTGTCCCTTTCACGTCCATGTTTCTCTCTCTCTCTGTTCCTCTCTCTCCCTCCCACTCTACCTGAACAAAAAATGGAAAAATGTCCTCGAGTGAGGATAAAAAATAATAATAATAATAATAATAATAATAATAAAAAGAAAAAAGAAATAGAGAAAGATCTAAAAAAGTGGAAGCACATACCTTGTTCATAGATTAGAAGAATTAATATCATTAAAATGTCCACACTACCCAAAGCAATCTATAGATTCAATGCAATCTCCATCAAAATACCAATGACATATTTCACAGAACTAGAACAAATACTTCAAAAGTTCATATGGAACCAAAAAAACCCCGAATAGCCACAGCGATCTTGAAAAAGAAGAACAAAGTAGGTGGGATCACAATACTGGATATCAGGTTATACTACAAAGTTACTATAATCAAAACAGCCTGGTACTGGCACAAGAACAAGCATATAGATCAGTGGAACAGAACAGAAACCCAGAAATAGACCCAAGACATTATGCTCAATTAATATTTGACAAAGGAGGCAAGAGCATACAATGGAGTAAAGACAGCCTTTTTAATTAATGGTGCTGGGAAAATTGGACAGCTACATGCAACAAAATGAAACTAGACCATCAACTTACACCATACACAAGAATAAACTCAAAATGGATAAAAGACTTAAATGTAACCTGTGAATCCATTAAAATCCTAGAAGAAAATGTAGGCAACAAATTTCAGACATCATACGCAGCAGAATTTTCACTGATACATCACCTAAGGCAACAGAAACAAAGGAAAAAATGAACACATGGGACTACATCAAACTAAAAAGCTTCTGCACAACAAAAGAAACAACCATCAAAATGGAAAGGCAACCCACTGTATGGGAGAGCATCATTGCCAATGATACATCAGATAAGGGGTTAATTTCCAATATATATAGAGTGCTCATACAACTCAACAAAATGAAGACAAAGAACCCAATTAAAAAATGGGCAGAGGACCTAAATAGACACCTCTTCTAACAGAACATACAAATGGCCAAGAGACATATGAAGAAATGCTCAACATCACTAATCATCAGAGAGATGCAAATTAAAACAACAATGAGGTATCACCTCACACCTGTCAGAATGGCCACCATCAACAAATCATCAAACAATAAGTGCTGGCGAGGGTGTGGAGAAAAGGGGACTCTAGTATACACTGCTGCTGAGAATGCAGACTGGTGCAGCCTCTATGGAAAACACTATGGTGTTACCTCAAAAAATTAAAAATTGAATTGCCATTTGACCCAGTGATCCCACTTCTAGGAATATACCCTAAGAAGCCTGAAACACCAATCAGGAAGAATATATGTACCCCCATGTTCATAGCAGCACTATTTACAATAGCTAAGATCTGGAAACAGCCCAAGTGTCCATCAGTAGACGAATGGATAAAAAAGCTGTGGTACATATACACAATGGAGTACTATGCAGCTGTAAGAAAGAAAGATCTCTTATCCTTTGAGACGACATAGAGGGACCTGGAAAGTATCATCCTAAGTGAAATAAGCCAAGCAGAAAAAGACAAATACCACATGATCTCACTTATATACGGAATATAATGAACATAACAGTCTGAGGAATACGGCAGACCCAGAAACATGGAAGTAGGGCACAGACTGACATCCCTCAGAAGAGGGGGTGGGGGTGGGAAGAGATAAATCACGGAACTTATATGCATGTATGCATAACCGATGGACATGGACAACAAAGCCAGGATGGGGCAGGGTGTGGGGGATGGGGAGGAGGTGTCAATGGGGTAAAAAAGAAGAAACATCTGTAACAAAAAAAAATTAAAAAACAAACAAACATGTGGTACATGTACACAATGGAGTACTATGCAGCTGTAAGAAAGAAAGATCTCTTATCCTTTGAGATGACATGGAGGGACCTGGAAAGTATTATCCTAAGTGAAACAAGCCAAACAGAGAAAGACAAGTATCATATGATCTCACTTATTTGTGGAATATAATGAACATAACAGTCTGAGGAATGGGGTAGACCCAGAGACGTGGAAGTAGGATACAGACTGACAATCCCCAGAAGAGGGGGTGGTGGGGAGAGATAAACCACAGAACTTATATGCATGTGTGCATGAACAATGGACATGGACAACAAAGCTGACAGGACAGGGGGGAGGAGGAATCAGTGCGGTGAAAAGGAGAAACATCTGTAACAAAAATAAATAAATTAATTTTTAAAACAAATAAATAAATAAAAATAAATCTCATCATTCAGCTGCACCGGATGTTTCAGTCAGTATTTGATGAACTAGTGAAGTTCCTTGGATTTGGAAGGCCTGTCCAATGCTTGGGAAGGAGCTCAACGGAAGAAGAGGAAACCAAACGGAACAGTAAATGAAAGACCGAAGATTCCGCATATCCCAGGCGACTCGAGGTCTGCGACTCTCCGTCCGGCTCCCTTCAAGGGGCGGTGGGAGGAGAGCTGCCTTTAACCCCGCCCAGGACGCCAGCGAGAGGGGCGGTCCGAGGCGGGGCGACCTGCGTGCGGCGTGACGCAACCACGCTCCGACCGGCTCTCCGCGGACTGCGCGCTGGAACTTGAGTGTCGGGAGGTGAGTGCCGTCCCCTCGGTGTAGCTGCAGGAGTGGGGTTGGGGTTCCCGGACCCTGTCCGCGGAACTCCTCCGGGTGAGACGAGTCGCCTGCCTTGGGGGTTTTCGGCCGAAGCGGAGGGATCAGTCACCCCAACCTTCCCCAGGCCGAGTGGGATGTACTTAATATTAACTAGCTGATACCCACAGCAACCCTAAGTCAAGGTCTCCTTCACTGGGAGGACACCCCTGCCGCCCCGCTCGGGCCTTGCCGCGCCGCGAGTAGCCGGCGGGATGGGGAGAAGTGAGACACCAGTGAAGGCCAGCGCTTATTCGCGTCGAGCGCCGCCGAACATTCCTGTGAATAGGCCCTGTTGTTATTCCCATTTTGCAGAGGTGGAAACGGAGGCTTTAGAGGGGTTAAATGTACAGCTTTGTAAAGGGTGTAAAGATGGGAGGTTGAGTGATTAAATAGGGAATCGGGTAAGCATCTCTGAAGTGTTGATTCCAGAAGGCCAACAAAAGCTGTTTCTGAATTTGGGCAGTTCTAGTGACAAAAATCATTTGGCGAGTGATAACCACCAGAACATTAAACTTTGAAATTTGTTTTTCAGGTAACCAAAAAGCCACCCGAAATGTCAATAGCTCGTTCATCTGTCCATGCCAAATGGATCGTGGGGAAAGTGATTGGAACAGCAATGCAAAAAACTGCTAAAGTGAGAGTAACCAGGCTTGTTCTGGATCCCTATTTATTAAAGGTGAGAAACATCCCTGTTTTCAGGTGTTGTTGATGAATCACCAACACATTCAGTGTTCTAAGCAGAAGAACACTATCAGTAAAAATTTATTGAGTATCTGCTGCACACAGCTGGTTCATTTGTGTAACAAAGTGAATTATTCATGGTTACATTCTAAGGACACGTAGAGTTCATTTCAATTCAATCTGGTAAGTGCTGTAGTCTTTCCTGCGCAATGTATTGTGGGAGCAGAGAGCAGGACACCTCAATTCTTCCCAGGTTGCTGAAGGAGCACACCTCGATTAAGAAACATTTGAGCTGAATCACAAAAAAGATGTTATCCAGAGGACCAGGTTGGGGGAATTCATTCAGGCCGTGATGAATAGTTTGTGGAAGTTCTTTTAGCGGTGAGAGGATATAACATTCTATAGGAACAGCAGGTATTTTGCAAGGATGAGCCTGGAGCTTGGCACCAAGTAGGCACTGCTGAATGAGTGCAAAAACAATCAGAACTGGAATGTGAAGGGCACCTTATGTTGTATTTTGGGGTTTCATCTTATAAGCAAAGGAAAGACAGGCTAGCCCTGGCCAGTTTGGCTCAGTGGTTGAACATCGGCCTGCGGACCAGAGAGTCCTGGGTTCGGCTCCCGCTAGGGGCACATACAAAAAAAAAAAGACAGACAGACTTGGAGATGGGTAGGGATGAGGATTGAAGGTTAAGGGGGTGGGTAAGGAGGCTATTGTGAAGGTGTAGGATGAAAATGATAAGGACCTGAACAGTCCTTGGAGCAATGGCAATGTACTGGAAAAAGAAGATTTTAGAACTGACAGAGTCCTTGATTTGTCAGATGTGTACGGGAGGGAGGGGGAAGTGCCAAAAATGTTTCTGCATTCAAGGTTGGTAAAAAGGCCAGTTGTTATCTGGAATCAAAAACACAGGAGTAAGCTGAAAGGTTGATAGCATGATCAATAATATTAAAACCAGAAGACTTTAGTTTGAATACTGACTCTGTTGTTTACTAGCTGTGCACATTGTTTCCCTAAGCCTTTTTTCTCGTCTGTAAATGGGAATACCTGCTGTGGAGGGGTTTTCTCGAGGAATAGATGATTCTAGTTATCTGTAGCTTGTTTACAATACTTTGAGCCAGGCATGGAGCTAAGTGCTTTATGTATATTGTAACATTTAATTCTCTTGGTATCTTTAGAGGTGCAGGTATTAGAGCTTCATTTTTTGGTGGGGAAAAAACTGAGCTTGGAATTAAGTGATTTGTCCTAAATCATACATTTAGTGGTGACAGTAGCATGTTTATGGACTAGAGAGAAGGTGCCACTGGAGGGAAGAATTTAAATAGCGTAGAGAAGGGTGGTAATTGATAGAGCAAGGGTACTGAATACTGAAGGTAATAGACTGGAGAGCTTGGGGACAGGATCATCTCTGGAAAAGTCATTGCTGTTTTCCAGAAATTAAACAGCTAGTTTTTGTATTGCAAGCCTCCTTACGTATATTATCTTTTTTCCCCAAGTCCCAGCTTATTTTCTGTGCATTATTTTTTCATATTCTGTACTGCATTGCCAGATCACAGATGGGAACTGCTGATTTGTTTCTCCTTCTCTCAATAGTATTTTAATAAACGAAAAACCTACTTTGCTCATGATGCTCTTCAGCAGTGCACAATTGGGGATATTGTGCTCCTCAAAGCTTTACCTGTTCCACGAACGAAACATGTGAAACATGAGCTGGCTGAGATCATTTTCAAAGTTGGACAAGTCATAGATCCAGTGACTGGAAAACCCTGTGCAGGAACTACCTACCTGGAGAGTCCAATTAGTTTGGAAACCACGCATCTAACCAAAAATCTGGAAAAACTCAGTATCTCTTCTGAACAGTGAAAGAGGATTAGAAAAACAAACCAAAGGGAAAAATTTATAAGTTTGCTTTATGGAAAAGAAATGTTTCTAAGTTTCATCACAAACTGATCAGTTTCTCTTCTGGTATTTATGAAATAGCTAAAAGTAAATGAATAAAAGGTTTGTTATAATTTTTCAAAAAAGTTTATGGTCATGTTTTCAATTTCCTTTTTAGTGAATGTACTTTACTGTTACATTAAATGTGCCTGGAAATCTGCTTCATTATATTTTAAGCTCACTATTTTAGATTTTTTTTTCATTCAAAAGACTCTTGAATTTATTCTAGAACCTTTATTTTGGAAGAAGAGACCTTTTTCATACATAAACAAATAAGAACACATTAAGTGTCCTGGCTGGTTTGGCTCAGTGGTTGGAGCATTGGCCTGCGGTCCAGAGAGACCCGGGTTCGGTTCCCACTAAGGGCATGTACCTCGGTTGTGGTTTGTCCCCACCTTGGTTGGGTTGTGCGGGTGGCAGCCACTCAGTGTGTCCCTTTCACGTCAATGTTTCTCTCTCTCTCTCTTTTCCTCTCTCTCCCTCCCGCTCTATCTGAACAAAAAATGGAAAAATGTCCTCAGGTGAGTATTAAAAAAAAAAAAATTCTGTGTTACTTTTTTAATCTTGTATCCTAGGCTACTACATTAAATAGGAAGGAGTTCTTAAAATCTAGTACATTGATGAAATTGTAGTACATCTTACATGTGCATTTGAATTGGAGAATTTCAGAGTTTTGTTGCTGTCCACTGTCATTTAAATTTCGACCTGAAGAAACATTGAACAGTAGATTTTAGTTATCTGACTTCTAGAAAGAGATTTAGAGCATATTTCAACCTCCCCCTCGCAGGGCTCATACCAAGGTGTGGGAGGTATATGCAGGTGTCTTCATGGCAAACAAAGCAGTGTATGGGTGGGGAGAAATTAGAGTAATTTCCCCAAAGAGAGGAGATAGTACTCAAACTGAATCTTAAAGGAAGAGTCTCCAGGCTAGTAGATGAGGGGTGTGGACAGGGCATTCCAGGCAAAGGGAACAGAGTATCAAGTCCTCAAAGTATGAGAGAAAAGAACATAACCAAGAAGTTATGGCGCTGGTAAGGATTGTTGGAATATTTTGAACGGGTGGAAATCAGGTAGAGAAATAAACAGTAATTATGCTCTCAGTAGTGGTGGGTTATTTAACATTTTTTAAATGATATCATTAGATTCACATGTCAATAAAAGTAATAGCATCAGTGTAGAGAATAAGCTAGAAGGGGAAAGATTAGAGATAGGAAGGCTGACCTGTTCAGACTGGTCCTAAGATGTAAACTGAGTTGAGCAGGGAAGATGAAAAGAGATTGGATAGATGATGTTCCAGAGTAGAACTCTCAGAGCATGGTACCAGGGAGAGTGAGTAAAAGGGAAGCATTTAAAACTCTCTAGGTCTCTGGCTATGTGCTACCAGTTATCCTGGAAGGGATAGGACACCTGTCCAGGCCATCTCTAAAAGCTCAAATATTTTAAATGTTTACATATATTCTAATGTACTGTTTTTGTCTCTTTTTTTAATGAAGTCGGTGTTTTATTATTTTTATTATTTTATTTTTATCCTCAACCAAGGACATTTTTTCATTTTTTGTTCAGATAGAGCGGGAGGGAGAGAGAGGAAGATAGAGAAATATCGACGTGAAAGGGATATATCGAGTGGCTGCCAGCCGCATGACCCAAACAGGGCTGGGGACAAACTGCAACCGAGGTACATGCCCTTAGTGGGAACTGAACCTGGGTCTCTCAGGACCACAGGCCGGCGCTCTAACCGCTGAGCCAAACCAGCCAGGGTGTTTTTATCTTTTAAGATATTTTTTTTAATTATAGTGCAAAAATTATGCTTCTGGAAGATGCCCCATATATATATATTTTTAAATTTTTTATTTATTTATTTTGTTACAGATGTTTCTCCTTTTTTACCCCATTGGCAACCCCACCCCTATCCCGTCCCCAGCTTTGTTGTCCATGTCCATTGGTCATGCATACATGCATATAAGTTCCGTGGTTTAGCTCCTCCCACCCCTCCACCCCCTCTTCTGAGGGATGTCAGTCTGTGCCCTACTTCCATGTTTCTGGGTCTAAGATGCCCCATATTTACTCTGTGGCGCTGAGTAACCTAAGCCACACACCTGTGAAATAAGACCACTTCCCCCAGAAAATAGCATTGGGTTAATGGAACTCCAAAACAAAATGATAGTGGAGGGTGAAAAATGAAGAATGAGTAGCCTAATACTAAATAACACAAAAGTGAGTAAGCAAAGAAATGTCTACCAAGTTTACATTTCAGGAAAATAGATTTGAAAGTATTTGTCTCCTGAAATAGAGCTGAAAAATTGAGGGAATGTGTGAGAAAATCACAAGGGCATATTGATATTACTGCCTTGAAGAGGTCCTGCCTCCTGCTGTGTAGAACTGGGACCTGCCCTTTCTGCCCTGGGGATGGCTCACTTCTGCCACCCTTGTGGGTCTATTCAGCCTCTACAGCTTCACAGAGCATAAGCCCGTTGAAATCAGGGACATTCTCAGCCACGTAGCCTCTAGTTTCCTGTCCCTGTGTTCCACAGGCCTTTAAGAGACAGATGCCATCTCCCTGGGCTGGGCAAATCCTTGTTGCCACTCCTCCACCCACAGGACGTATTTCTGTAATGTTGCTCCTTGACAAATTAAGGTGTTCAAACACCGCCCCTGTCAGAATACTCCTGTACCCCAATGCTTCCTTCGCGTCCAAGATAACCAGCTTCAGAGAACTCCTCAGTCCACAAACCCATTTCCTGCCTCCCACCCTTCCTACAGAGACCTTCCAGCCTCAGGGTTCTGGGGGCATTCTCCTCTTGGCTTCTGCAGACTCACACTTGCCTTGAGATGTGCTCTTTAATGGGTAGGGCTTGCTGCTCCCAGTTTCTCCCCCGTCTCTCACTGTCTAGCTCCCTTTCTGCCCACCTTGTCTTGGTTGCCGTTTTCATGGTTACATTGTGGCTCTTTTATAACAGGATGCACTTTCCTCAAACAGTGCCATCCTGACCCACGCGTTTGTTTGTTTCCTCTGCTGATGGGAAATGTCCTCCCTTCTGGTCAACTCCCTTTTCCTTGGGACTGAGCTGTTGTGACAGCTCTTGAGTGTCTATCCTTCACTTCACAGCCATTGCCGGTTACTTGCTCTGCCGTCTGAGCTCCCTTCCCATCTTGTGAACTTCATTTCAACACTTGTCACACTTGATCCAGTCATTTCACATCCTGCCCCACTGGGCTGGGATGGCTTGAGGGCAAGGATGGAGCCAAAGCCTGCCAACCGCTGCTGAAATTAACAGAACAGTGTAGTTCTGGGCCTATGAAAACTTGAGTATGTGTCCATCCAGAATGCTCTTATAAAGCTGTATGCATGTGTTTGTTTTTTGTTTGTTTATATTGAAAAGGCAATATATATTTACATGGTACAAAATGTAAAAGGTAAGAGGTAATCAAGACTCTCCCAGCAAACAAAAGCCCAGGCCCGGATGGCTTCATGGGGGAGTTTTACCGAACATTCAAAAAAGAACTAACACCCATTCTCCTCAAACTATTTCAAAAAATTCAAGAAGGAAGACTTCCAAACACGTTCTATGAGGCCAGCATAATTCTAATTTCAAAACCAGAAAAAGACACTACAAAGAAGGAAAACTACAGGCCAATATCCCTGATGAACATAGACACCAAAATACTGAACAAAATATTAGCAAATCGGATCCAGAAATACATCAAAAAAATTATTCACCATGACCAAGTGGGATTCATCCCAGGGATGCAAGGCTGGTACAATATTCGCAAATCAATAAACGTGATACACCACATAAACAAAATGAAGAATAAAAACCACATGATCATATCAATAGATGCTGTAAAAGCATTCGACAAAATCCAGCATCCACTTCTGATAAAAACGCTCAGCAACGTAGGAATAGAGGGATCATATCTAGACATAATAAAGGCCATATATGAAAGACCTACAGCCAACATAATACTCAATGGACAGAAACTAAAAACATTTCCATTAAGAACAGGAACAAGACAGGGATGTCCACTTTCGCCACTCTTTTTTTTTTTTTATCCTCACCCGAGGACATTTTTCCATTTTTTGTACAGATAGAGTGGGAGGGAGAGAGAGAGAGAGGGAAACATCGATGTGAAAGGGACACATCGAGTGGCTGCCACCCGCACGACCAACCAGGGCCGGGGACAAACTGCAACCGAGGTACGTGCCCTTAGCGGAAACCAAACCCGGGTCTCTCCGGACCGCAGGTGGACGCTCTAACCGCTGAGCCAAACCGGCCAGGGCCACTTTCGCCACTCTTATTTAACATTGTACTGGAAGTCTTAGCCACAGCAATCAAACATGAAGAAAAAATAAAAGGGATCCAAATTGGAAAGGAGGAAGTGAAACTGTCATTATTTGCAGATGACATGATATTATACATAGAAAACCCTAAAGACTCCATCAAAAATGTACTAGACTTAATAAATGAATTTGGCAAAGTAGCAGGATACAAAATTAACGTCAAGAAATCGACGGCATTCTTGTACACCAATGATGAAGTCACAGAAAGAGAAACTGAAAAAACAATCCCATTTACCATCGCGCCAAAAAAATTAAGATACCTAGGAATAAACTTAACCAAAGAAGTAAAGGACCTATTTGCAGAAAACTACAGGTCATTGAAAAAAGAAATAGAGGACGATATAAAAAAGTGGAAACACATATCTTGTTCATGGATTGGAAGAATTAACATCATTAAAATGTCCATACTACCCAAAGCAATCTATAGATTCAATGCAATCCCCATCAAAATACCAACGACATATTTCATAGAACTAGAACAAATACTTCAAAAGTTCATATGGAACCAAAAAAGGCCCCAAATAGCCACAGCAATTTTGAAAAAGAAGAACAAAGTAGGTGGAATCACAATACCGGATATCAGGTTATACTACAAAGCGACTGTAACCAAAACAGCCTGGTACTGGCACAAGAACAGGCATATAGACCAGTGGAACAGAACTGAAAACCCAGAAATGGACCCAAGGCAATACGCTCAATTAATATTTGACAAAGGTGGCAAGAGCATACAGTGGAGTAAAGAGAACCTCTTTAATAAATGGTGTTGGGAAAATTTGACAGCTACATGCAAAAAAATGAAACTAGACCATCAACTTACACCATACACAAAAATAAACTCAAAATGGATAAAAGACTTAAATGTGACCCGTGAATCCATAAAAATTCTAGAAGAAAATGTAGGCAACAAAATTTCGGACATCATACGGAGCAGAATTTTCACTGATACATCACCTAAGGCAACAGAAACAAAGGAAAAAATGAACACATGGGACTACATCAAACTAAAAAGCTTCTGCACAGCAAAAGAAACAATCATCAAAATGGAAAGGCAACCCATTGTATGGGAGAACATCATTGCCAATGATGTATCAGATAAGGGGTTAATTTCCAATATATATAGAGTGCTCATACAACTCCACAAAAGGAAGACAAAGAACCCAATTAAAAAATGGGCAGAGGAGATGAATAGACACCTCTCCAAACAGGACATACAAATGGCCAAAAGACATATGAAGAAATGCTCAACATCACTAATCATCAGAGAGATGCAAATTAAAACAACAATGAGGTGTCACCTCACACCTGTCAGAATGGCTGCCATCAACAAATCATCAAACAACAAGTGTTGGCGAGGGTGTGGAGAAAAGGGGACTCTAATACACTGCTGGTGGGAATGCAGACTGTTGCAGCCACTACGGAAAACAATATGATGTTACCTCAAAAAATTAAAAATTGAACTTCCAATTGACCCAGTGATCCCACTGCTAGGAATATACCCTAAGAAGCCTGAAACACCAATCAGGAAGAATATATGTACCCCCATGTTCATAGCAGCACTATTTACAATAGCTAAGATCTGGAAACAGCCCAAGTGTCCATCAGTAGACTAATGGATAAAAAAGCTGTGGTACATGTACACAATGGAGTACTATGCAGCGGCAAGAAAGAAAGATCTCTTATCCTTTGAGACTACTTGGAGGAACCTGGAAAGTATTTTCTTAAGTGAAAGAAGCCAAGCAGAAAAAGACAAATACCACATGATCTCACTTATATACGGAATATAATGAACATAACAGTCTGAGGAATACAGTAGACCCAGAAACATGGAAGTAGGGCACAGACTGACATCCCAAAGAAGAGGGGGTGGGGGGATGAGAAGAGATAAACCACAGAACTTCTATGCATGTATGCATGACCAATGGACATGGACAACTAAGCCGGGGACAGGGCGGGGGTGGGGTGGGGTGGGGAGGGGGGTGCCAATGGGGTAAAAAAGGTAAAATATCTGTAACAAAAAAATAAATAAAAAATTTATTTAAAAAAAAAAGAAATGTAAAAGGTATTTGGGGAGAAGCCTGCCTCCCACCTTTGTCCCCCAGGCCCTGGAGTCCCCAGCAACACTGTTAACCCTTTTCTTTCAAGCCTTGCCCATGTTCCTTTTGCGCACCCTGTTCTGGGCACCAGCTCCTTTCGCTGGAGGTTACTGATTCTTCTCGGGCTTCGGGCTTCGGGCTTCGGGCTTCGGGCTTCGGGCTTCGGGCTTCGGGCTTCGGGCTTCGGGCTTCGGGCTCTGTCTCGGGCTGCCAGTCCTCCCCGCGCCGGCACGCACTGCGCTCCGGGAGGCCGCGGCGCGCGCGCTGCTCTCCCTGGCGGCGGTGCCTCGCTGCTGCGGCCGCGCGCCGCGCCCCGGCCCCGCCCCCGCCCCCGCCCCGCCCCGCCCCGGCCGCGGCGGGCCAAGGGGAGGGAGGGGGCGCGGAGGCGGCCGCGGCGTCAGCGGCAGCCCGAACGGTGGGGGCCGAGGCGCCGGAGCAACATGGCGGCGCGAGTGCTGCACGCTCGCGGAGCGGCCACGGCCGGCGGCCTCCTACAGCGGGCGGCCCCCTGCAGCCTCCTGCCCGGGCACCGGTGAGCAGCGCCGCCCTTTCGGGGAGGGGCCGCCGCGGGGCGGAGGGCGCGGGGTCCCGGGCGCGGGTCTCCGCCCCGGCTGGGCTGCACCTCCGCGGGGCAGTACGGCCGGGCCTGCGGGACGGCGCGGGTCGAGGCCGCGGTCAGCGGGGCTGGAGTGGGCGGGCGCCTCGGCGGGGTCCGAGCGCCTTCCCCTCGGGCTCAAGGTCACGGCGGGGACGGTGCTCCGCGCCGAGGCCACGTACGCCCACTGAGCGGGTCCGGCTTGCGGGACCTTAACCCGGCGCGACCCCGAGCCGTGGCCGAACGGTGGGCGAGCGGCCGAGGCTGCAGGCCTTGCAGTCGGCCTCCGGGTTCCCGCCCCGCGTCCTGAGCAAGCTGCCCGCGCAGCGCCTCGGTGTCTGCTTCTGCAAATGTCAGTAGAGACACTACTTACCTCTTAGGTTGTTGTGAGCGAAAAATAACGCATCGTCCCGAGTGAGCCCTCATTGAAGGAGAGGGTAGTGAGGAGGTCTCAGAACTAGGAACAGTCTTTGACTTGCATTTAAAAGTAGTGGATCAAAAAGTATTTACAATGATCAGCACTAGATAGGCGTTGGGTTCATGTTTTAACTTTTTTCCTAACCTCGTTGGGTTAAATTCAGTTTTCTGAATCCATCACTGACATATTCATGTTTCATTTTCCACATTAAAAAAAAAAAAAAAACCCCGAAGCCCGTACTAACGTAGATTTGCCTTCTCGTTCTCTTTACATTGGATAATTTAAATGTTATCTTTTCACTTGTCTGTTTTAAATTAAATAATGAACCTCTAGAAAATACAGTTGGTACCTAAAAATGAAAAAGCAAAAAACTACCTGTTGTTAAATTCTTACTATGGGCTGGGGAACTTTGTATAATATGACTTATTTAAATCCTAGTAGCAACCTTAAGAAGTAAGTAATAGGATCTGCATTTTAGAGATGAGGTGGAACCTCAAAGGGTGTGAGACACATAGCTAGAAAAGGCATTACATAGCCTGAACCCAGGTTTGTCAAGCTTCAGGCCCAGCGCCCTTCCTAGGGCTGATGCTCAACTTGTATTTCCAAATTTGATGTTTATGTTTCTAAGTTAATTAACAAGTCAACCTCCTCTTATTTTTATTTTGTTATTGAGCATCTACTGTGATCTTACTTTTTCACACATGTGATATGAGCCCATGAAATTCATAATTTTTTTCAGCTGAGACTGAAGGTGTTCACTCAACATGTTTACCTACAGTGCTCAAGGTCACAAAGCTAGGAAACTGGAGAATTGGACCTGGGTCTGCCCAGTACCCTTACTTCCTCCTGGGGCCAAATGTTCTTGACCCTGGCTGGAGTCCTTATCTCTGTCCAACCTGTTGGCTCTTTGATTCATCTCTCAGGTCCCCTGTACCTTTTGACTACTCCTTCCTGGCCTCTAGTCTGCCTTAACTGTAGCTGTTCTTTAGGACTCAGTCTAGATCCAGTTATGTATCTGATTCAATAAAATATTGAATGTATATGATGTCGTTGAAGTTGTATGGAACTGAACACAATAGCCTTGGTCATTATCCTCAGGAAGCCATGGCCCAGGTAAAAACCCATACAGACTTACAGATTGAGGTAGGTGCCTACCACATGAGATCATGGAAGTCCTGTCCAAGATGATGACATTACATTGAGACCTGAAGGGTCAGTGTGCATGAAAGTCCTGAGTGGGAAGGAGTCAGGCACAGGGTGAAGGGAAGGCTGGCTAGAAGACGGATGACAAGGAGTGGGGGGCCAGATAATTCCAAGCCTTGCAGTCTTTTTTAGCTTGGATTTTATTCTGGGAGCTGTGGAAAACATTTGAAAATATAAATTCTAGTGTGACATGATCTGATCCTCAGTTTTAAAAGTTCGGTCAGACTGGAAAGGGGACAGAATCAAGGGTCATGGCCAACTGGGTGGATGCTCATACCATTTATTGGGAGTTATTTGTTCCATAGGTTTATGAGTGCCCACCATATGCCAGGTGCTATTGGAAACTGAATAAGGCACACGAGGTCCTCACCATCTTGCTAGTAATTCAGAGAAGGAGGAACAGGTGTGAGGTGGGGAGCAGTTTTGAATGCAGTAAGATGGCTATGAGCTATTCAGATGGAAAGGCTAAGCAGGTGGTTGGCCTACTTAACCTATATGACTCTTCAAAGGAGATGGAGATGTCTGGGCTACAGGAAACATTTGGGAGTTGTCAGCATATAGGAGTGCTAAATGTTGATCAATACATGAGTTTCAGTGTACTGTTTTGTATGATTGAAATTTTTCATAATAATTTTTTTAAGCCGTAGGAACGATGAGATTGCTTGAGAGATTGTGGATAGAGAAGGGGCTGAGAAACAGAGCCTGGGATGTGTCAACATTTACAGGCTGGATAAAGGAAGAAGAGGCTGGCAAGAGAGACAGAAGGGGCAGCCAGTGAGGTCATTGTTATATGACAATGCCCAGGGGGAGGTGTTTCAAGGAAGAATGGTCACCTGTTCCAGATGCTGCTGAAAGGGTAAGATGACAGAAGAAAGCTGGATTTGCCAACAGGAGTATTGTGGGTGACCTTGCAAGAGCGATTTCAGAGGGAAAGGAGAAAGTCTTCCTGTGACACTTATTTGCCAGCACTTCTCTCTCAGCTCTGCTCAGCACCAGGCCCAGAGTTCCACTTACTTAGTGGACATTGCTCTAGTGCCCCACAGGTGCTTAAGATGCCTGTATACCCAGAATTTAACTCCTCTTCCTCCTACAGAGCCTGCTTGCTTCTCCTGAGTTCTCTCTCCCCAATAATGAAACATCTTCCATTTAGTGTCTCAGGCCAGAAACCAGAAGGTCTTCCCCAAGCCCCTCTCCTGCTCCTCCTATCTACCTCCAACATCCTTCTCTATCACCACTCCCCTAGCTCAACTCTTGGCAATTATGCTCCCTGCCTTATTACTGTGGTCCGTCTGACATATCACTGCCCAGGCTCCTTTTTACACCTAGAATTTCTTTTTGAAAACTTAACTAGCGTTGCACCATGAAGAGGATAGCATCCAGGTGATGGACATGCACAAGAACCTAACTACCCTGCCCCCCTGCCCTCTCATTATCTCAGTCACCATCCTCCCATACCTTGTTCTGCCTTACTGAACTCTTTGCTGTTCCAGAAATATGCCGTACAGTTTCATGACTCCATGCCCCTGGACATGTTGTTCTCTTTGACTGGAATTATCGCCTGCCTTGTCCACCTGTCTTTCTCGTCCTCCAAGACAGAACCAGAATATCTCCCCTAGAGTCCCATTCACTCCTCACAGGCCGAGCTAATGGGTCATTCCCCTGAATTCCGTGTGTGTGTGTGTGTGTGTGTGTGTGTGTAAATCTACAGTATTCCTGATCACTCTATTTACTGATCAGTTTCTCCCATGAGACCGAACAGGCTAGGCATCTGGTTCATCTTTATATCCACAGAACTTGGCACAAAGTGCTTATTCTATTTAAAGTCTAGTGCTCCCATCCAAGTACTAACCAAGCCCGACCTTGTTTAGCTTAGATCAGACAACATCGGGTGCATTCAGGGTGCTATGGCCATAGACCTTTGTAGAATGTGCTGCCTCCTACCTCACCCTCTGTAAAGTGCTGCACCACATAGATAAGATCTTATAAAAACAACTAATTGTATTTGTCACTGTCATTAAAGAACCACATCGCAGCTCAGATCTTATCACCCTTACAGCTGACGGCATAGCTGCTTCTACCCCCTTGCATGATTCAGCTTGGACAGCTAGATGACCTGGGCACATTAGGCAGCTTTGATCACCTGACGCTGGAAAGATTTCAGTTTCACAGTCCATTGGGGCTAATGCTGGGCCAGACTGTTTTTCATTTGTCAAGACAATTGCTACCCAAGCTCACAAGCAAACATCACTCAGGTTCTTGTGTGTGTCCTGTGATATTGCCTATTTCTTAGACTTACCTTTAGTTTACAAAACATTTTCATATCTCTGATCTCATTTTACTCATTCTAAAGTATATCTCTGTGGTATTACTAAAATCTGGAGCAGCCCTGGCCGGGTTTGCTCAGTGGTTAGAGCTTTGGCCTGCAGACCAATGAGTTGTGGGTTTGATTCCGGTCAAGGGCCTGCCTGTACCTCAGTTGCGCTTCGTCCCTGCCCCTGGTGGGGTCATGCAGGAGGTAACCAGTTGATGTGGCTCTATCACATCGATGTTTCTCTCTGTCTCTCTCTCCCCCTCCCTACCTCCCTCCCACTCTATCTGATAATAAGTAGAAAAATATCCTCGGGTCAGGAATAAAAATAAATAAAATCTGGAGCAGATGCTCAGTTGAGGAGGTATCTAGTAAAATATTTGTATGTAGAAAAATATTTTTAACTTCATAGATTAAGGGTCATACTTTTATTTTGCCACTTCTTAGCTCAAGTCATTTAACCTATCTGAACCAGTCTAAAATTTGGTAATACCGCCCTCGCTGGTTTGGCCCAGCGGTTAGAGCGTTGGCCTGTGGACCGGGTTTGGTTCCTGCTAAGGGCATGTGCCTTGGTTGCAGTTTGTCCCCGGCTTCAGTTAGGGGTGTGCAGGTGGCAGCCACTTGATGTGTCTCTCTCACGTCGATGTTTCTCCATGTCGTCGTCCTCCCCCCCACCCCCACCTTCTTCCTACTCTGAAGATAAATGCAAAAATGTCCTTGGGTGAGGATAAAAAAATTTTATTTGGTAATACCTACCTTGCTAGATTGTTTAGAGGACTAAATGAGATGACATAGACAAACTAGTCCAGCGCCTAGCAGAAAGTATGCACTTATTAACTTGTAATCCCCTTAAATTCTAAAGAGGAGAAAAATACTCTGCGAAATGTCCTAGTACTGATATATTTAGAAACTTTCATGGAACTCCTTTTTTTTTTTTAATCCTCACCTGAGGACATTTTTGCATTTATCTTCAGACAGAGTAGGAAGGGGGAGTGGGGAGAGACAGAGAGAAACATCGATGTGAGAGAGACACATCGAGTGGCTGCCACAAGCACAACCCTAACCAAAGCCGGGGACAAACTGCAACCAAGGTACATGCCCCAGCAGGAACCGAACCTGGGTCTTTCGTCCTCAGGCCAATGCTCTAACTGCTGAACCAAACCTGCCAGGGCGGAATGCCTTTCTTAATTGTTCATAATTATTCTTACAATTTATTTAACAAACAAGAAAGATTAAGCACAATTTCTGTTTAGTGAACTTAAAATCTAAACTAAAGAATTATACAAAGTCCTATTAACACACTTTTAAACTTTCTACTTTGTAAATTACTAATTTTATATACTTGCCATTTTGCTTCGTGATATGTTTAAGACACTTTAAACAAAATGACATTTTTATTTTATTGAAATAAATTTTAGCATGATTCATTTGGAGAATTGCCTTCTTCAGAATAAGTTTGTTTGTATAATCAACCAGTGAAATAAAAAACAGAAACAAATACATATGTTTTGGGTTTTGCTAAAGGGCTAATAGTTGTTATATTTTATTTATTTATTTATCCTCACCAGAGGATATTTTCCATTTATTTTCAGATAGAGTAGGAGGGAGGGAGAGAGAGAGAAAGAGGAACATCGATGTGAGAGAGACACATTGATTGGTTGCCTCCAGCATGACGTGACCAGGGCCTGGGACCAAACCACAACTGAGGTACGTCCCCTTGACCGGAATCACACCTGCAACTCTGGTTTGCAGGTTGACTAACCACCGAGCCAAACCAGCCAGGGCTATTTTTTATTTTATTTTAAAATTTCAGCCCTGGCTGATTTGGCTCACCAGTTGAACATCAGCCCAAGAACCAAAGAATCGCAGGCTCGATTCCCAGGCAACGGTACATACCTGGATTGCAAGTTCAGTCCCTGGCTCTGGTCGGTGGTCCTGTGGAAAGCAACCAACTGATGTATCTCTCTGACATCAATGTTTCTCCTCTCTCTCTCTCCTTCCCTCCTTCCCACACTCTCTGAAAATCAATGGAAAAATATCCTCAGGTGAGGATTTAAAAAAAAAAAAGTTTGTTTTATTCAAAAAGTTGTTTTAAAAACTTAACTTTTTAACTCTTTCTCTCTCAGAGATACCACCATTAACACTTTTTTAGTTCTCTGGAATTTTAACATAAGGTAAAAGCAAAATGGAAGAATTATAAATGTCTTTTTACAAATGCCATTTAAGATGACATGTTTTTCTCTCATGCACTTATAAGAAAAATTGCATGTCTGGTATTAAGTTATTTTGCTTGTTTACTATAAGTTTGTAGCTTAAAAAAAATTTTTTTTCATATGTTTTCATTGATTTTTTGAGGGAAGAGAGAGGGAGAGAAACATCGATGTAAGAGAGAAACATCTATCAGCTGCTTCCTGCATGCCCCCCAACCTGGGCATGTGCTCTTACTGGGAATAGAACCTGGACCTCTCAATCCACTGAGCAGCACCGGCTGGGTAGTGTATAGCTTTTTCATCTTTGAAGAATTTGAAAAAATACTTTTATATTTCTTGATCATTATGGAAACATTGATTGTTAATTTTATATTTATATGTTTTAGTTTCTGTATTTTTAAGCTTACATAATTCAAATGTCTTTTTATCTGGTTTCTAGCTATTTGTGATAATATCCTATGAATCAGTTTTAAATAAAGAATCTCTTATGGGGAGAAAACGGCCTGTAATATTTGTTCATTAAAGCAGCAAGTCAATTTTTTCTGCCATCATCACTATTAGCAGTTCACTTTGTGTGTGTATTTATGGTACACACAAAATGTGCCTGCTTTTCCCACATAATTTCTCTCAGAGATGTGTGCGTGTAGATCTGTCTCATTCTTTTTAATGATTACACTTTGTTCTGATTTGGGATATTCCCTAATTCATTTGACCAGTCCCCATTAATGGCTATCCAAATTGCCTGTACCAGGAACAAACTGGAAACAAGGCAGTAATGAACGCTTTTTGTGCATTCGACTTGAAGCACTTGTCTAAATATAGTGTCTGTAGGACATAACTGTGTTATTATTGGGCTGAAAGGCCTACACGTTTTAATATTGATAAGATAATGCCACACTGCCCTCTAGGGAGATTACACAAATTTGTAATTCCACTTGTATGAAGTATGCACTTAAAAATAAACTCGCAGCCCTGGCCGGTTTGGCTCAGCAGTTAGAGCATCGGCCCGCAGACCAAAGGGTCTTGGGTTCGATTTTGACCAAGGGCATGTACCTTGGTTGTAGTTCAATCCCTGCCCTGGTCAGGGTCCTGCGGGGGGGCAGTCAATTGATGTGTCTGTCTCTCTCACATAGGTGTTTCTCTCTCTCTTGCTCCCCCTCCCCCCCGCGCTATCTGAAAAAGCAATGGAAGAATATACTCAGGTGAAGATTTAAAAAATAATAATAATAAAAATAAAATAAACTCGCAGACACAGAAAACAGAATGAATGGTGGTTACCAGAGGGGAAGGGAGGTGGGAGGGAGAATTAAGAGGGTAAAGAGGATCAAGTATATGATAACAGAAAGAAACTAGACTTTGGGTGGTGAACACAATAGAGTACACAAATGTTGAATTATAGTTTTGTACACCTGAAAATTATATTAATGTAATTAGCTAATGTTACCCCAATAAATTTAACTTTAAAGAAAGAAATAAAAAGTTCATGGTTATAGTACAGTTTGTTACTTTAATCATATTTATTCTCACTTTCTAACAGCATGTATAGTAGAAATAGTTATAAGGTGACAATTAGCAAATTATGTTAATGAAATTTGTATTCTTAGGTTTTTGTGACAGTTAATCTTGATTTTAAGGTTAATTTATGGGTAAAATAAATATTTTAAATTAAAGAATTTGTTTCCCTGTATATTTGTTTTCACATTTTTTTATTCTGGTAAAGTATAAGTAACATAAAATTTGCGATTTTAATAATTTTTAAATGTACAGTTCAGTGGTGGCAGTATACATTGTATTGTGCAGCCATCTCCAGAACTTGCTCATCTTCCCAGACTGAAACTCAGCTCATTCTCCCCTCAGCCCCTGACATCCACCTTACTCTCTTTCTCTAAGAATTTGGCTACTCTAGGTTTCCATGTATATTTTTTCTAGGTCAAAAATTGCTTTACAGGAGGGGAAAATACATAGTAGAAATTGCAAAAATAAACAAGAACTCTGTTAGGAGAGCCACAGATTACTTTTTACACTTTATTCCTGCTTTTTAGAATGCACATAATGGAAAGTGGGCGTTTTATGGTATTCCAGGTTCTAGATTAGTGCTTAGAGTAGGTGCTCAAGGCATGTTTGCTGAATGGATTGGTAAATTTATGAAAACTGTATTATGTGACACTCCCTACAGACACTGAAATATTTGTACCACTGACGAGACTCAGATTTTTGTATTTGTTATTCCTTAGGGGGTTGACGTCTTCCAGTAACAGACCTCGAGAAGACAGCTGGTTAAAATCCTTATTTGTCCGGAAAGTTGATCCAAGAAAAGATGCTCATTCTAATCTCCTAGCCAAAAAGGAAACAAGCAGTCTATACAAAATACAGTGTGAGTGATAGGTCTGCTATCTTCACAGATGACTTTTCTCCCTTTGTTCATAAGTTCATCATTGAATTTTTTTTTGTTTCAGTTCACAATGTTAAACCGGAATGCCTAGACGCATACAACAAAATTTGGTGTGTATACCAAACTATCCTTTACTTGGGGAAAGTAATGATTTTGATCTTTGTTGGTTCGGCTAACACTTAATAGCGGAGTGAGATTTTGGTTCCATTTTCTTAAAGCTGAACTTTCAGAGGCTCTTCGGTTGAGCTCTGTATGGGATTACCAAGGGTCTTTTGTTTTAAGCACTCCTACAGTAAATCATCACATAAGATGTCAAACCTTAGAATGTTACTAGCCTCTCAGGGTTGGAAGGAACCTTGCAAGTTTGCGTAGTCCATCAACTCATCCAGGGTTTGAGTCCTTTCTGCAAATCTTCCTGACTGCCTATGCTTAAATACATTCTACACTCCATCTCTGGACAGCTTTGAGTGTTAGGAATTAGACCTGTCCCCATGACCTCCATTGTTTCCAATTATACTTCTAAGTAAAGCTGTCCCATTTGAACGTAGCTGCCTTTCTTCCCAAATCTTCCATTTGCCAGGATTCAGGTCCCTTCAGCAGATTCTCATGATTTGAGATTCATATGTTCTTAGAGAATTTGTAAACTTTTAGACTAGCGAGAAAAGTAAGTATATCAGTTCTTAATTAAGTTAATAGAAATAGTATTTTAATGATCAATTTTGAGCAAATATAATTAGAAAGCATTTTTTTTTTTACCTTTAGTAGTTGCTACTTTCATAAGAAAGCAGATGATTTTGTCACCAGAATCAGCATAATTTTCAGAAACAAAAATCTGTTTTATTTTCTATCATGGTTTGTGAGATAAAACATTAGCATAGAATTTCTTACCGTAGCACAGTTCTCTTTATTTAAAAATGCCCTAAAACAAAATAGATACTTACTTCTAGATATTTTCTCATAAAATGAAATTATTTCTCCATGCTGATACTTCTTGGGTTATCTTTCCTGTCCTGTTTTTATTCCTCTCTTATCTCAGATTTCTGTCTATTCATATATCTATTTGGATATCTTGTTTTTCTTTCAAACTTAACAGGTAGAATCCCTTTGTTCTTTCAACATCCCTGTGTGTGTCACTCACCATGGTTTTATTTAACCCTTTTCTTAGTTCTTTGTGATTAGTTAGTTACTAAAGGCTATGCATTCTTCATTTGACACGTATTTTAGATCTCCCTGCTTATTTCCTTCTCTATCTCCCTTTCTCAACCTGTTGAGCCCTATTTCCAAATAGCCTTCTTCCGTACTCTTTCCTGGACTTGTAGCTGTACCTGTACTTCCGCCCCACCCTGCAATCCATTACCCAAAAGTTTGTCAAATTGATCAACTTGGGTTCTGTTTTCTCTTTCATTGTATTGTCTTTTTCTTTCCTCTGCAACTTCAGCAACTCCTTGTTTTCAGCCTGGTTTGTTGGGCCCCAACAACGAGGTTCTTCCCAACCCATCCAGTTCTGGGTACAGGTACTACCTGCCTTGCAGACGCCATTCAGGTAGTGCCAGGGCTTCCAAGAGCAGGTCTGGGGCTTCCAACAGAGAGGCTTAGCAGCAGATCTATATATGACTTTGTACTGGTGAAAAACCTATGCCTCAGCGCCTTCCTTGACCCCACCTGGGTCATTTGTAGAGGCTTCCTTCTTCCACATTAGCTCCAGTTCAGGGTTGTTTACCTCTTGCTCGTGTCACATGGCATAAAGGAGGCCCATTTCCATTTCCCTAACGATCTTTCCCCACCCCAATTTCCATTCATCTCCTCTCTCTGGACCACAGGCCGATGCTCTAACTGCTGAGCCAGACCGTCCAGGGCGCATTAATCTCCTCTTAGTTCTGAACATAAGTCTATATGAGCCAGTGCAATGACCATACCATGTGTATTTTTTTGAAGGGTGGCATTTGCTTTTATGGGTTTTTAGTTGGACATGAGACCATTCTGAGTTTTTCTCTGTTAACTGTTAGTATATACCTAGTCCTGGTGTCCCAGCCTCTAGTGGTGACCACTAGTTTACTATTACTCAGTGTCAGCAAGGAATTTGAACAGGTTCCATTTCTGATCCTTGATATCTTTTTTCATCCATTGTTGAACCTGTATTGTACTTTTTTTATCATAATTTTTCTTTTCAAAAAGTATACAGACTTTAGCTTTTCTCTTGGAATAACTTAGTTATATCTCTTTTCTTTGCCTTTCCCTGTGCCTTAGAATCTGAACTGTACAAAGTTTTCCATAGAACCAAGCTCCGATACCTATGTTTAGTTAATACACTGCCATGATCTGGCATGGCTTTGCCTCTGCTGCTGTACAGTCAGGGGTAGTGGAATGGGTGGTGTGTCCAATGTGGGATTGTGGTACCTCTCAGATCCCCTCGGTTGGATTGAATTGAACCTCATTATTTATGTTACATCTTTCATTTGGATTCTTCTATCACGTTGATGCCCTTTGGAACTATTGAAGTTGTGTTGTGTTCTGGATCTGTCTTTTCCCTCCTTATTTAAGGCAGACTTTTCTCTGCCCCCTGATTGCTGCCTTATTATGCCCCTTCTGTTGTCTCCCCTATCCTAAACACTTTTTCCCCTTTCTTATTTATCCCATGTTCTTTTTCTACTATTCCCATTTCTCTCATTCTTCCTATCTTTGAAACCAGCAAAACGTAGCTTTTATAAGCATCACCATTCTTAAGTACTTCTTTCTGGAATGGCAAATGGTAGACCCATAGTTCTAGAATCTTGGAACCTTTGGCTCTTCTTTATCATTTTTATCACTATACTAAAATTGCTTACAATATAGTTGGGGGTATCAGAAACCTAAGGTTCTGATAAGTGTGGTATCGGACTAGAACAGAATTCAGTTAAAAGGTTAACTTTGCATGTGATTTTATCAATATATTTTGAGGTCAGTTATCAGAACATGGAGTAGGTGGCCTTTTTTCTGTTACTGATCGTGTGTTGTCCACCTGGTATAATTTTGTCGGTTGTTTAATTGGTGTTGCTATCTCTTCTCTTTAAGTCAAGAGGTGTTGCCAAAGATTCATGAAGATAAATATTACCCTTGTACTTTGGTGGGGACTTGGAACACGTGGTATGGCGAGCAGGATCAAGCTGGTAGGAAGCAGAAGTCTTTGGAATAAACACTTGTTTCTTAAGCCTTTAAATAATATTTAATTGAATGCTTGTTTTTAATCAAAGCTTTCAAAGTCTCAGTCTAGTTTCATGGTTAAAGTCATTTCTTCAGTAATTCATTGCAAAAACTTTTTTATTGTTTTAATGTTTGAATCTATTATTGTAACTTTATAGTGTAACTCATAGGCCAACACATGGCGCATTGTACTTTTGTACTGTGTTAAGCACATCTAGAATATTTGCAAGGTAAGAATATCATGAAACTCTAAGTGTATGCTATCTTTTAATATATCTTCCAGTCCACCTCTGGAGGTATGAAGGAGGCTATCCCGCGCTCACGGAGGTCATGAGCAAACTCAGACAAAGTCAGGTAATGATTTTGAAGAATGTTTACTTATTTACACTAATGATATAGTAGATGTTAGTACAGAATTAAATGACTCTTTTGTCATCAGTTTTTTACTATTAGTAACTGTTTTTGTAGTAAAAATTTTATTATTTGGACTCTTGATATATGCAAACATAAAGTAACCAGTTATACTACTATTAAAATAACAGTTCTTTTTTTTTTTTTAATCCTTACCTGACATTTTTCATTGATATTTAGAGAGAAAGGAAGGGAAAGAGAAAGAGAAACATTGATCAGTTTCCTCCCATACATGCCCCAGCCTGCAACCTAGGCATGTGCCCTAACCGGGAATCGAATTCATGACCTTTTGATATATGGGATGATATTCCTACTAACTGAACCACACTGGCCAGGGCTAAAGTAACAGTTCTTATTGTCAAAGTCAGTTGTACTTATGGTACTTGGAAACCAATAAGTCAGCATTCTAGACAGTCAGCCCCTGGGTTAACTAACATTTACCTGCTTTAGGAACTTCCAACCACATATTCTTTACCTCGGACTCAGTTTGCTCTCCTCCCCTCCCTTCACTAATATGTACATGTCAGTGGAGAGAATTTTAACAGCCATACGTTATTAGGAAAGAAAACCTTTTGTATAGCTTCCCAGTCTAACTATAATGGCCTCTGGATGCTTTGATTTTTTGGGGGGGTTTGTTTATGTTTTTTTCAATTTTTATGAGTTTATCTGAGCCAAACTGATGACATGCCAGGAAGGAAGATCTCAAATGTTCCCAATTCTTTCATGGTTTGTAGTCTTCATGTTACCTCTGTTATTATGCTGTCCCACACTGTTAGGAGAATCAAAAAAGTGGGAAATTACATTTGTTTATATTGTCATTTAAATAATTAGGATGGCCATGTAGCTTGTCATCTAAACCTGGACACTTGGGCATGAAAGGGAATGCTAATAGTCATTATGCCGGTTTGATAAGATGTACACTGGGACTATCTCAGGGCAACTGGGACCCTCTTTATAATAGTATTATAGAAGGAACATAAATGTTACTAAAGTGGGCTTATGTATAAATATCAGAAGATTTCATGAGCACATTTTTTCACTCAAAGGAATTTTTTGAATTCCGGAAGGCAAGAAGCAACATGCTTCTCTCTAGGAAGAATCAGCTGCTATTAGAATTCAGTTTCTGGAATGAGCCTGTTCCACGGTCAGGACCTAATATATATGAGCTCAGATCTTACCAACTTCGAGTAAGTACTGAAATATGAGTGAACTGTTTTCTCGTTTTTCTGCAGAGAAGCATGAGTACCCCTTAATGCCGACAAAAAAAGTTGAGTGTGCATTCTGTGATGTGTTTGGCATTAAATTTTGATTGGCTTGTTTTCTCCCCTGTCCAGTCCTTCTCTTATTTTCTTTCTTTGTTTTTTGTTTTTTTTTATCTTCTTAATTTCTCACTTTCTCTTCTGCTAAGCTCTTTCTTTTATAATCTTGCATAGTATTTATTATTTGACATCATGTAGCATTTCTATTCTTAAGAGGAAAGACTTAAAATGCAGAACTAGGTACAATATATAGCATGTAATGTAACTGAACTAGAGCAACCAATAAACATGTGACTGTTGAATAAACTGTACAGCACTGTAAGGTTAAAAGGGAATTAAATAATACTTTGGAAGACTTTCTAGATGTTTGCCCACTAAGTGACTACTAGCAAGAAAGCCCAGATAGCAACATTATTCAAAGGTATACATACCATTAGATCTCTGTGATCTAATACCATAATACTGGAAAAATAAAGTGATGTCCTTATTAAGTTTACTTAGTTTGAATTTTTTATTTATTTTTTATTTATTTATTTATTTTTTTATCTTCACCCGAGGACATTTTTCCATTTTTTGTTCAGATAGAGTGGGGAGGGAGGGAGGGAAGAAGAGAGGGAGAGAGAGAGAGAGAGAGAGAAAGAGAGAGAGAAAGAGAAACATCCACGTGAAAGGGACACATCGAGTGGTTGCCACCCGTAAGTCCCAACCAGGGCCGGGGACAAACTGCAACCAAGGTGCGTGCCCTCAGCGGAAACCGAACCCGGGTCTCTCTGGACCACAGGCCAACGCTCTACCGCTGAGCCAAACTGGCCAGGGCAAGTTTGAATTTTTTAAATTTCACAATAAAGTCTGAATGGGTAATAACAGTTTAATAGTTAAATACATCTGGAGGATGGGCCTAGCCTTGGAAGTGAGAACCATAACTGGATGACTTACGATGGGGCAAAAATAGGGTTACAGTTGTGAGTACATGAAACAGAATTTATTCTTAATTATTATATTATTTTCCATATGAGCAACTGTAAACCTACTTTTGCCCCACCTTGTATGTTGTCTTATATAAAGCCGTAGACTATTATTTCCACTAGGGATAAGTGTGAACATAGTGAAAATTTGTTACATCTCACATTATTAAAAGTTAATTTTTAAGTTAGTTTTTTCATTTGTTATATTTCACTTCTATTCCATATTTTTTTACAAAAGAACTAACAAACCAAAATCCAAATCTCTTTCAGCCAGGAACTATGATTGAATGGGGCAATTACTGGTGAGTATATTACCAGATGGTGAGTTTGTATAAGTCTTATTAATAGATTATATTAGGCCATCATGTTAATTCTAGGAATAAATTCTGAGGAAATACTGTGATTTGATACTAGACTGTTGTGTTGTTTGACATTTTTATTATGAAATTTTAAAAATATGCACAAAACTAGAGAGAATAATACCATGGATTCCCCCCTTCCATACCCATTACTGAGCCTCTGTAATTATCAACACATGGCCAATCTTGCTTAGGCCTAACTTCCCCAACCCAGATTATTGGGAATTAAATCCTAGACAACATAACCATTTTGTCCGTAAATATTTTAGCATATCTGTCTTGAGAGAGAGGACGCTTAAGAAAAACAACAATGTTGCATGAGTTTATTTTATATTCTTCTTTGAACATTATATTTTTTGAAATGTTGCTTTTTTCACATAAAGCACCAAAATGATAGGGTTGCTACTTTTTTTTCTTAGTTTAAGTAGCACAATACCAGTTTTTTACCCCAAACTGATCTATAGATTCAACACAGTCTCCAACAAAGTTCCAGCAGGCTTTGGAAATGCAAAGGACCCAACATAGGTAAAACCTTGGAAAAGAAGCACAAAGTTGGAGGACTCAGACTTCTCAATTTCAAAACTGACTGTGGAGCTAGAGAAATCAGAGACACTATGTTACTGACATAAGGAAGGACAGGTACGTGCAGATCAATGGCATATAATTGAAAGTCTAGAAATAAACTTCAGAGGATTAGTTTTCAATAAGGATGTACCAAGACAGTTCAATGGGGACAAATAGTCTTTTCAATAAAGGATGCTAATACAATTGGATATCTTTGCAAAAAGATAAATTTAGGCTCCTACCTTACTTTATATACAAAAATTAATCAAAAATGAATTGTAGCCCTGAACAGTTAGGCTCAGCGGTTAGAGTGTTGGCCCATGGACTGAAGGGTCATGGGTTCCATTTCAGTCAAGAGTACGTACCTGGGTTTCAGGTTCGATCCCCGGCCCCAGTCAGGATCATATAGGGGGCGACTAATCGAAGTGTGTCTCTCACATTAATGTTTCTCTCTCCCTCTCCCTCCTGCCCTCCCACCTTCCCTCCCTTCTTTCCTCTCTTTCTTTTCCTCCCTGCCTCCTCTCTTCCTCCCTTCCATTCTCTAAAAATCAATGGAAAAATATCCTTGGGTGAGGATTAACAAAAAAATAAATGAATTGTAGACTAACTGTAAGAACTAAATATAAAACTTTTAGAAGAAACCATAGGCTTAAGCAAAGAGTTCTTAGATATAATATCAGAATCAGAATCCACAAAAGAAAAAATTGATAAAAAACAAGTCATCAAAATTAAAAACTTTTGTAATTAAAAGGACATAATTTTAACAATTAAAAGACAAGTCACAGACTGGGAGAAAATTTTGCAAATCATATATCTCATAAAGGACTTATATCCAGAATATATAAAGAAATCTTTCAATTCAATAATAAGACAACTCAGTAAAAAAATGGGCAAAGAATTTGAATAGGTACTTCTCCAAAGATATAAACAAATAGCCAAAAAAGTATAGGATAAGATGCTCAGCATTACTAATCACAAGAGAAATGCAAATTAAAACCATGATGACATATTATCTTATACTCTTTAGGACGACTATTAAACAGAAAATAGCAAGTATTGGCAAAGATCCAGAGAATTGGAAACCTTGTACATTGTTGGTAGGAATGTAAAATGATGCAGCCATTACGGAAGACAGTACAGAAGTTCCTCAGACATTAAAAATAGAATTATCATATGCTCCAGCAATCCCACTACTGAGTATATATTCAAAAGAATTCAAAGTAGCATCTCAAAAATATATTTGCACCCATGTTCATTATAGCATTATTCACAGTAGCCAAGAGGTAGAAACAACCCAGATATCCATCAACAGATGAATGGATAAAGAAAATGTGGTATATACATATAATGGAGTATTATGCAGCCTTTAAAAATAAAATCCTGCTACCTTCTATAATATAGATGAACCCTGAGGACATTATGCTAAGTAAATAAGCCAGTTACAAAGGACAAATAGTGTATGATTTCACTAACATACAGTATCTAAAGTACTCAAAAATCACAGAAACAAATAATGAAAATGTGTTTGCCAGGGGCTGGGTGGAAGGGAGTTGGTGTTTAATGCATATTAACTTTTAGTTTTGCAAGGTTCTGGAGATTGGTTGCACAAGAATGGAAATATATTTGGAACTACTGAATTGTACAGTTGAAAACAGTTGAGGTAGCCCTGGCCAGTTTGTTCAGTGGTTAGAGCATCGGCCTGTGGACCAGAGAGGCTCTGGTTCGGTTCCCGCTAAGGGCACATATCTCGGTTACAGTTTGTCTCCGGCCCCGGTTGGGGTTGTGTGAGTGGCAACCACTCGATGAGTCTCTCTCACATTGATGTTTCTCGCTCTTTCTCCCTCCCACTTTCCCACTGTATCTGAAGATAAAAAAAAAAAAATGTCCTCCGGTGAAGATTAAAAAAAAAAAAACATTTGAGGTAAATTTAATGTTATGTGTTTTTTACCATAATAAAAGTAAATAAACCATAAAAAATTTTTAAAAGATTTTAAATGGGCAAAGGATTTAAATAAACATTTCACCAAAGGAAATATATAAATGCCTAATATGCACATGTTATTGGAGATGCAGAGTAAAACTTCACACCCACTAGGATGGCTATAACTAAAAAGACAGGTAATAACGTTACCATAGGACCCAGGTCATGACTATGTACTCCTAGGTATACATCTAAGAAAATCAAGCATACATTTATACAAACTTTTTTTTTCCTTAATCCTCACCCAAGGACATTTTTGCATTTATCTTCAGATAGAGCAGGAGGGAGAGAGAGAAAAACACCGACGTGAGAGAGACACATCAAGTGGTTGCCACCTACACAACCCCCACCAGGGCCAGGGTCAAACTGCAACCCAGGTACGTGCCCTTAGCAGGAACCGAACCCGGGACCCTGGTCCGCGGGCCGATGCTCTAACCGCTGAGCCAAACCAGCCAGGGCCATCCATACAAACTTATACACAGTGATCATAGATAGCATTTTTTATAATAGCCATAGAGTGGAAACAAGCTAAATGCTCATCAGCAAATGAATGAAGAAATAATGGTATATCCATATAATGGAATACTATTCAGCAATAAAAATGAATGAACCGATACATTCTACAAACGTAGGTGAACTTCAAAAACATGCTATATGAAAAGTCCAATACTAAGGAGTAAATAATCTGTGATTCCATTTGGATGAAATGTCCAAAAAAGGTATATTTATAGATACAGAAAGATTAGTGGTTGCCTAGCACTACAGGTGGAGACAGGAAGTGACTGCAGATGAGTACAATTGGGTTGTGGCAATGATTGCACAAGCCTGTACATTTACTTAAGAAGCATAGAATTATACACTTATGTGAATTTTATGGTATGTAAATGATAACTTGATAAAGCTACTAATGATGTATCTCACTAAAGAAAATTTATACACAAATCCAAGGATAACTCAAAGTGAGGAAACTGATTAACACATACAATCCAGGCTGGAATTAGGTGCCCAACACACATGCTCTGGCCTCTGCACCCCCAGCACATTGCTTCCATGCCTTGGTTAGAGCATTTATCATACCCCGGCAGTGTCCATATCAGCAGCTGTCTACAAGGCCTGGCACATCCTGGGTGGTCAGTAAGTGTTGAATGGATGGCAGAAACTAGTGGTCACATAAGAAAAGAAAAGTCAGTTGCAGTTGCCAAATTGTAAACAAACTATATGCCTGAGTGGAAAGATTGCAGTATATTCATGCAGTGGAATTTTATACTGTGGTTAAAGTACACTTGATCTGTACCTGTTAGCGTTGATCTGGAAAACATCGCCTTGAGGAAGAGTTGAAGAAGTATATGTACAACATCATGTCTTTTATTTAAACTTTAAGAAGATACAACAAAAGAGTTATATAAATAAGATATTTAACAAGTTATATAAAAAGATATAACTGTTGTTCATAGATACATACGTATGAAATAGAAATATGAAACCATGTACAAGAAGACTCGTATTCAAAAGAGAGTCTGTTTCCAAAGAGTAGTAACTGATGGGGAGGAAAGAAGAGGATGGAGGTGAGAAGGAATGAAAGGAACCTGCTGTGTTCATTTCTTTTTGAGAAGATCTGAAGCAAATACAATAAAATGTAAATGACTAAATCTAGATGAATGGTAAAAATATCATTAAAAGGAAAACAATTTAAAAATCATCTTAGTTCACATTCAGAGGCATTTGATAAGATTTGACATGTTTTATTAGAGACACTATAATTTTTTAAGAAAAACACTAAAATTAGGAATAGGGAACATTTTATTTAAATCAGGTTGGCACAGACTCTTCTGTAAAGGTCCAGGTTGTGTGTATTACAGGTTTTGCGGACCACGCTGTGTTGGTCATAGCTACTTAACTCTGCTCATGTACTGCGAAAGCAGCCGTGGCCAGTTTGAAAATGATAAGTGTGATTGTGTTCCAACAAAACTTTATGGATGCTGAAATTTGAATTTCATACTTTTCATGTGTCACGAAATGATTTTTTTTATCTAATTTTTTTTTTCAAGCACTTAAAAATGTCAAAACCATTCCTAGCCCCTGGGCCATAAAAATGAGCTGCAGAGGGTGAGAGGTAGCCCAAGATCTGTGGTCTGCTGGCCCTGATTTAAATGATAAGACTACCCATCTCTCCATTTTAACAGCTACATTAAACTTAATGGGCCCTGGCCAGTTTGGCTCAGCGTTTGAGCTTCGGCCTGCGGACCAAAGAGTCCCGGGTTTAGTTCCTGCTAGGGGCATGTACCACAAAAAAATAAATAAGTAAAATAAACTTAATGGTGAAACGCAAAAGCATGCTCTTTACCATTACAGCAAAATACTACCAACTTTCACCATTATAATTTTATGTTGTTTTTTGAAATCCTGACTATTGTAATAAGAGAAAACGACAAACCAAAGATATAATAATATAAAACCTCAATAATTATGAGGGATACAAGAATAGATTATTGGCCATTTGTCAACTATAGACCCTTGGTTAATATTTATCTTTAAAGGAGAGCCTGTGACTTTTACTTACTTTCAACTTATCTATGCTCTCCTTTTCTCTGTTACAGAATTGCTAGCATTGGACTAAAGAATTTTTAAGATCTCTTCTAATTTTTAAGATCTCCAAAAAAATGGTTCTGTGATCTTTATTTCTAATGAATCTTTTCTTCTTAGGTCATCAAAAGTTAGAGAATGCCAGCTGGAATTTCTTTTAATTTGAAAACTAAGAAATAGATATTTGATTATATATATGAGGGAAAAAAATATTTTCCTCCTACCCTTTTAAGTTCTGGCTGGACTAATAATCAGATTAGCATAAGAGATGAATAGAGTCTGGCTGGTGTGGCTCAGTGGTTGAGCGCCGACCCACGCACCAAGAGGTCACCAGTTCGATTCCTGGTCAGGGCACATGCCCAGGTTGTGGGCCCATTCCCCAGTGGGGGGCATGCAGGAGGCACCAATCAGTGTTCTTTTTCATCGATGTTTCTCTCTCTCCCTCTCCCTTCTTCTTTTTCTAAAATAAATTTCAAAAAGATTAATAGAAAATAATAACCAAATGTATTATGTATATGTATATGAGGGTTCCATAAGAATATGAGACCCTAGGACAGATCTGGCAGGTAAGGCTCCTTGAGCCAAGGAAAAGGGGGCAGTTGTGGTTTGGGATTTCAAAGGACAGGAAGGCAATTCACATGGAGATGAAAAAGCAAACATTTGGTTAAAATAAAAAGTGCTTGCTGGGCCATCTTTATGGGATACAAAGAGGACTTTGATCAAACAGGCCTTGCTAAGTCCCTCCCTGTCTGTTGCACTTAGTTCACATTACCCTATTGTTATCTCTGATAATAGCTCCCTTCCTGTAGCAGGTCCTCTAAATTCTTTTAGGCAGTTAGGGGAAAGGTTAGAGGTTTTTCCTGAGTCTTTGGTTTCTTAAAAATAACCTGCTTAAAATAATGTCCCAAAAGGCATATTTTGGGGTGTCAAACTCTGCTTTGCCTCATTAACAACTATTATAGGCACCATTTTATTAAGAGGGGAAGGGGGCTTGTATATGTAATTTAGTTATTCACAGAGTAGGATTGTTCTATTTTTTTTGTATGTTACAAATTGAAACTTGCCCACCATGGAATCCACAAGGAAGTACTGAGGTTATTCTTCAGTTATTTTAAAAATTACTTAAAAAGTCAGTTCAGCGTTCAATTTATATTTTGGCACATAGGTAACTATTTCAGATGGTGGTCTCCTCTTCAGTACATGCTTCTGATTATTACCAGGCTAAGGCAAGTATGTCTTCTTTGCCCACTGTAACTGAATTGGAAAAATTCAGAATGAAATGAATAATCCTGAATATTTATTATCAATGAAAGAGTATTTTTCCTTCCGAATTAGAATGCACGTTAATGTGATTTGCTTAATCTCAATAATTTACCAATCAAATTTGTAATTTTTGTGAAGATATTGATCAGTTCATTCTAAATGCAAAAGGTAAAGAATGTAATATCATTTGCGAGTAATAGCAATAGATCCCTCCTTCACCTGAAAGGAACCTGAATGCTTGGGTCACTCTCGTGAAGTCGAGCACGTGGTGGATGAGCCTAGGATTATGAAGTGATCTTCAGAAGACTGGCTTCCTTACTTCCACCACAGGTTGCCCTTGCTCTAATCCCAGAGCCCCCGACCCCTTTGGAGATGTTCTAATTCAGCTGCTCTGAAATTTGCCTCCAGGAAAAGAATGCACCAATCAAGGCAACTCAGAATCTTGTCCCTAGAGAGTTATGTCTCTCACTGTACGTGTTAGTAGATGGGTATGCTTGTTCATGTGCCTCCGGCTCTTCAAAATGAATCAGAATGAATCCATCTTCCCAGGTCCTGCCTACTCTGGAACCGTGGTGTGACTGAGACTTCAGCCAAAGCCTGGGCAGTGCTGATAGAGAGTTTTTCAACTTTGATTCTAGAAAACTGCTTTTGAAAATACAAACATTTAAAAAATAACTTTAGGATTTCAAAGCAGCACTAAATTTAAAAATAAAATACCTGGAACAAATATGAAAATACGAAAGAAGGTGTTTGAAGAGCTGATAGCTTTTGCAACAGGAAATCCTAAGGAGTTTAAGACAAATGCCAATTTAATCAGTTTCATGTTATACACACAGACACAACATAAGTACACACTTTTCTTCACACATAGTATGCATTGAAGGCCATTTGGTACTCGTTTTCCTAATGGTTATTTCTGGTAAGAAGAAAAACCAAGAGGTGTCTTCTGTTTCGATCGTGATGCTATATTGCCAAGAAGCTCCACTCATGGTCCTGTGTGCTTCCCGAGAGGTTGCAGCTCCCCTTTACAGTTCAAGGAGCTCAGTCTCCAGCTGCTCTGAAGGTGTGCTTCCTTCATCTCAAACCCCATTCCTGCAAGGTGGTCGGTCCCTGTCTCCTGACATCTCGGGTGTTTTCATATCCGTTTCCCTCACTTTCAGCGAGTCCTTGGAGAAGCAATGCTTAAGTTCACTGGCCCTATCCTTTGCCAACTTTCTTGATTTTATGTGAGAGTCAGCAATGCAACCACATATTTAATAGTCATTAATTATTGTCCACTCACAAAAATGACTAGTATAGAAAGGTACATTTACATTTTGTGTACATTAAAATAACTTGTTTACATCTGATAATTGAAAAGCAATTAGTCTTATTCTGCAAAACTTGCTCAGAGTGGGGAGGGAATTGACATTCTTTTGAACATCCCTAACTCAGTATCTGAACATTGTTGTTTTTCTTGCAGGGCTCGTGCAATTCGCTTCAGACAGGACGGTGATGAAGCTGTCGGAGGATTCTTCTCTCAGATTGGGCAGTTGTATATGGTGCATCATCTTTGGGGTATTTATTGTCTTTTTCCTCATTTTTTGTTACTGGGATTTCACAGTTTATTACTAAATAATTTGTACTAGGCAGTATAGCTAGTAATCTTAAACACTGTAGCAAATCCAGATGTCACAGATGGAAGGTAAGTTCTGGGATGTCTAGAATAAGAGGCAGCAGCAAAAGTGTCCGGAGACTGTTGGTAAACTGATTGTCCAAGAGGGGATGATGGTGAAAGGAAGTAGAGCAGTGAAGTCAGCAACCGTGGGAGAAGCAAGATGATAAAGCTGCTGCGTGCCTGTCACCGAGCGGCCCTACCATCCTTTCTGGGCCCTTCGCGTTGCCCCTCGGAGATAGTTCTGCCTTTTACCGGAAGACGGCTCCCTGCCCGCGAACTCGCAGCCTGCTGAGGTCTTGTTCTGTGGTCCTAGAGGCCCTTCTCTGGCCTTTTCCGTCTTTGGTGTCTTTCAGGCCTGACTCAGATGTCCCCCCTCCCCCCACCAAGTGCATGTCACTCTCCTGAGCCACAGTAGTCACAGCTGTGGCTGTCTGTCTCCCTGCTAGAATAGGAACTGGGTCTCAGTAATAGCTTGGTATAAATACTGCTAGAACATTCTGGGCACATTTGTAAATGGTTATTAAAGTTTAAAAAAATGAAAAGCATAACTTATTTCCAGACCATATCAATTAACTAAGGTGTTAGTTTGACCTGTTTGATCCCACCGCAACCTGTTGCCTGCTGTGTTAGTATGTCTGGCTTCCAAAGATATGGTGACCTTTATCTAATGAGGGATAAAGCAAATGTGAATGACTGCCAGGAGGCAGCGTGTGGTCTGTAACACAGGGTACTCCTCACACTGCAAAGGATACAAAGTTACCTGTGTGTGGCGAAAATTAATAAAAGGTAGACTTCAGGCCCTGGCTGGTTTGGCTCAGCGGTTTGAGCTTCAGCCCACGGACTGGAGAGTCCTGGGTTTGGTTCCCACTAAGGGCATGTGCCTCAGTTGCAGTTTGTCCCCACCCGGTTGGGGTCATGTCGGTGGCAATCACTCAATGTGTCTCTCTCACGTCAATGTTTCTCTCTCTCCCACTTCCTTTTCTTTCTCCCATTCTATCTGAATATAAATGGGGGAAAAAAGTGTCCTCTGGTGAGGATAAAAAAAAAGGTAGACTTCAGGATCTAGATGGGGTTGACAGGTAAAGGTGGGAAGGAAAGGCTAGAACAGTGATGGAGACATGGGAAATTATAAAAAGTGCTCAGAAAACTACAAATAGTTCAGACTGGCTGAATGGCAGAATACCTGCCAGGGACCTAAGTCTGAATGGGAAAGTTGGTTCCTGGAAACCCCCACCCCACCCCCATAAACCTTCAAGGTTTGGGGAGGACACCCCACCCCACCAATTACTGCTTGGACCAGGTGCTCGGCTCAGTCGCACACGCAGGGTTTCCCTGGCATTTAAGAGATTGAAAGCCCTGTACCAAATGACAGATGCCGCAAGTAGCCCGCAGCTCCACGACCGCCAGGGGAGCCTTGTCCTGGGGTGTTTCGCTAGCTGAGATTTGACCTCGTAGGTGTCAGTTTTCAAATATAGTAGGTATGGAAACATCATTAAGAAATGTGATTTGTGTCCCTGCCTCTTAAGATTCTACTAAATCTAATTTAACTTTTATAGATTTGGGGTAGGGGTGAAGTAGTTTTTATTTTTTAAATAGCGTATGGTCTGTTCAGAGGATATAAACCAAAAAGTCAGACCTCTTCCCCTCCCTCCCTTTCCTGTGAGCCTGGAGAGGCCTTGCGAGTGGCTGCTGCACGCCTCCTGGACATGCTCCACGTGCGAGCAGGCCGGGCGGACTGACGGGCCAGGGTCACCATGTGCTCCGGCTCCCAGCGGGGGTGCAGCCGAGCACAAACTCCGTTCACATCAGTGCCTGCGGCATGTCTGCGTGGGGCTCCCAGGTGAAGGAGTCTGGAACTGCACACGGGCAGGCTCGAGGGTGTGCATGGCAAAGCCCTGGCCGGCTTTAGTGAGCACAGGGCAGAGCCCGTATCTCTGCCCTGTGGGGAAGACTCGAGACTTCACAGAGCAACAGCAAGGGGAGAAGTCAACCAAGACCCTCCTCCACGCAGACAGGCAGCAGCCAGGAACAGCTGGCACTTCAGCATCGGAGAGTGGCCCACTGCAGCACCTGCGTCTGAGGCCGTGCTCTTCTCCACTCTCCTTTGTTGGCCCCAGTCTGTGTCCAGGTGTTCCCTCCCCACTTCCTGCTTTATACAGAAATGTATTGAGATATGCAGAGATGAATTTCAGTGGCCCGCCTTTAAAACTTAACCCTTACTTTTCCCCAAGTCTATACTAAATTTCCAAAGTAGTCTCTGAGAAAACTAGATGGGCAGCTGACTCCATACTTAATGGTGTAGCAGTGGGGTGCAGGGCATTATGTTCCATTTACGTCTTGTTTCTTCTGTGTGGTCATTTTCAGCTTACAAGGATCTCCAGACAAGGGAAGACATACGGAATGCAGCGTGGCATAAACATGGCTGGGAAGAATTGGTATATTATACAGGTAATATTCTAACGGCACAACATACTCTATTCTTCTCATCTTAATTGTTCTATGATCTTTCACCTTGAAGCTGTGTATATTTTAAAAATAGTATGTTCCTCTAGATGGTGAATTACAAGGTTGGGAGGGGAGAGTCAAATTTTTCTTTAATAGTTATATGACTTTTTTTCAACGAAGAATATTCATTCTTTCACCTATGTGGTTGGTACAGTTTTCAGACCCTTGTATATTGTAAATTTTACATCATTACTTTTTTTGCACATTTCTACATTCTCTGAAAATTTACACTTTTTCTAAGCTTTCCCTTTCTCATCAGAACTGTTCTCTCACAAAAACATTGCAATTTAATACATCAATTAAAAAGTAATTTTGAAAATTAATTTGATATTTAGACTTTCCATACATATGTATGCTTGCATAAATACATGCATATCTATACGTGCATGTATACCCTTATATGTGTATACTATGAAATCATGGCTGCTTGATTTTTATAAGAAAAACAATAGAGCTGAATACAACCCAGCAATACCAATACAGGTAATAAGTACCGACCATGTTGCATGTCAAGTACATTTAAGTCCATGTACTAACAAGAAAGTCAAAGAGTAATTTGTTCTAGAACATAAGTATTTTAGTTTTTAAAAAAGTCATATAATTGTATGTACCTTTGCTGCTTATTCTTACTCTTTCATCAGTTTTCAGAGGCGTGTTTTACTCTGCAGTGAGTTTTACAAGTACATTGTGGGAATATAGTCAAATGAAATTTTACTTGGTTTTATATAAATTTATTTTAGTTCAAAGAACCTTTCGAGAAAGCACAATTTTTCTCATAATACAGATTTTCCTAACTTCCTATAAATGAAACACATATCCAGACAGAATCAGTTATAATTTTAATAACTTCTTATAGGGCCCTGGCCGGTTTGGCTCAGCGGTTAGAGCGTCGGCCTGCGGTCCAGAGAGACCCGGGTTCGGTTCCCGCTAAGGGCATGTACCTCGGTTGTAGTTTGTCCCTGGCCCTGGTTGGGTCGTGCGGGTGGCAACCACTCGATGTGTCCCTTTCACATTGATGTTTCTTTCTCTCTCTCTCTCTCTCTTGCTCCCCACTCTATCTGAATAAAAAAAAATGAAAAAATGTACTCAGGTGAGGATAAAAAAAAAAAATTTTTTTGAAAAAAAAAAAAAAAACTTCTTATAGGATGCTAGCTGATCTGTCATTATCTTGTATATTTCTGACCCTGGGTCAGTGCTATGTTTTCCAATATTCTGTTCTGTGATTTCAAGCAGCATAATCGCTGAACATTCTCAACAACCTGTTTGTTGATGTCTGTTTGCCATTATCTGTTCGGAAAAGAACAATCACAGTAATCCTGGTCCTGTTTTCAGTTCCGCTTATTCAGGAAATGGAATCCAGAATCATGATCCCCCTGAAGACCTCACCCCTCCAGTAACGCTGCAGAACTTAGATGTGCCTACATAAATTTATGGGGAAGTATTTGTCACAAATTAATCTTAATTGTATATCAAATGAAAAACACTGAAATGTAAACTGCTGTATATAGCTTATGAGAGACCCTTTTTCTTTAAAATTGACATAATTCTAAGAAAGGAAACTATTACAATGTGGTTGTAACAGCACTCTGTGGTCCTCTTTCAAATATCCCTGGGTTTGTTGAATTTACCTTATAACATGGTACCACTCCTCCCAGCCTCCAGGAAAAGAGACCCAAATTTCTATTAGAATCATCTCTAAATGAGAATCTAACCATAAGACCTGGCCAGTTTGGTTCAGTGGTTAGAGCGTTGGCCTGTGGACCAGAGAGTCCCGGGCTCGGTTCCCGCTAGGGGCACGTACCAAAAAAAAATCTAACCATGAAGAAAAGCTAGTCATGCCTCTAAACAAAGCAAATCTGTCTACCAATTACAGATTTTAGACAAATTTCTTGTATCAGGAAGAAATACAAATTTTGTCGTTTCTCTGGCAGTTTTTTTGAGTCTCAGACTAGGAACAAATGATGAGTAAACCCAGTACCTGAGTATGTTTTAACTCACTCTCACTTTCAATCAGTTGGCATAGTAAAGGTGTCATTCCTAAGCTGGCAGTGGCTGCCAAGGCACATTGCTCTAGTTCAGTCCTCACACAGCGGGTCGTGATATCTCTACATGAGAGGCAAAGATGGCTTGAACCTGTATCATATGTGATTTTGAAATGAACAACTTGAATAGCACTAATTTTTATTTGTAATATTTTTCTATAACAAAACGAGAAGCACTAGAGAAAGAGGTTTTGTTTTGTAAGTCATTCATGACCTCAGACATTCTGTGTTAATAGTCTAGTAAGCTCACAGTAGATACTTCCACGATCATGCATGAGGAGTGGTGGGTGTTGAGATTTACATCGGCATAAATTTGCATACGTGTCTAGCTCTGTTTGATTTAGTTTTTTAATATAGTGTGCCAATTTTGTGAATGTAATCATGTAAAAGTCCTCTTGAAATGAAATTATGTCTGACCCTCAGATAATTTATGTATAAAATTAAGTGTGAATAAATCTCATCAAATTTCAAACTTTTACATGTGAATGATTTTCTCCAAGAACATATAAAAGTCAATAAAATTCTCTGACTTTTCACATATTACGTTTGCGATCTTTTTTATGAACTTGTGCTGAGAATGACCCTGTTGTTCTTGAAAAATACTGTAGCTTGTCCCAGTTCAGTGAGCATATGTGAGTCTGTAAAGTAAAATACTAAGTGAGCTTGTCAGCACCTCCCTGTGGTCACTTGGTAGGGTGCTTTGGGAACAGGCATGTGTGTACCCATGCTAGTGTTGTGGCGTTTGGGGATTGGGGCTGCCGGCAGAAGAACAGGCTCTTTGAAGTGCAGGCTCTGCTCATTGATGAAGTACGTACCCTCTTTGGTGTTGAGTTCCTTCATCTGTAAATTGGGGAGGTTGAACACCATGACATTTAAGATTATCTTCGACTCAGAATTTCTGTAACTGGTTCTTGGTGCCAAGGGAAGCAGTAGATGAGGAGGAACCAGGAAAGGAGAAACCACCAGGAAAATAGGAAGAGAGTCAAGAAAGGGGTCTCCCAGCCGGTGTGGCTCAGTGGATTGAGCACCGTCCCATGGACTAAGAGGTCCCGGTTTGATTCTCGGTCAGGGCACATGCCCGGGCTGTGGGCTCAATCTGCAGTAGGAGGCAATGTTTCTCTCTCCCTTTCTCTCTCTCTGAAATATCAATAAAAACATATTTTTAAAAAAAGAAGCAGTGAAACAACACAGAAGGCTAAATTGAAAAACTGCTCCCCCCGCCCCCAAAAAAGAAAGTGAGATGGTATGAAAGCCAAGTTTGAAAGTCCATCAAACATGAGATCACTTGTGTCAAATGCTGCTGCGAGAGGGTCAGATGAAGTCTGAAAACTGATCATTAATTTAGCAACATGCTGACTTTTGACAAGAACATTCTGTTAAGCTAATTTATCAAAGTATCACTTTCTTTTAGCGTTTCCTGCCCACTTTGTGAAATCCTTTTATTAAACCCCCAGAGTAGAATAAATTGCATTTTTTTGTCCCACTCTTAATTTTCACTGGCAATGTTCAACACTTCCAATCTCGTTTTCCATTCATTAAGGAATAAGTCTGGTGAATATTACTTATATAAGCCAATTAATCTTTTTTTTATCCTCACCCGAGGACATTTTTTTTTTTCCATTTTTTGTTCAGGTAGAGTGGGAGGGAGAGAGAGAGAGAGAGAGAGAGACATCGACGTGAAGGGACACATTGAGTGGCTGCCACCATACGACCCAACCAGGGCCGGGGACAAACTGCAACCGAGGTACGTGCCCTTAGCGGGAACCAAACCCGGGTCTCTCTGGACCGCAGGCTGACACTCTAACCACTGAGCAAGACCGGCCAGGGCCAATTCATCTTTTTAAAATATGTTTTTATTAATTTTTTAACGAGAGACGAAGGGAGAAAGAGAAACATCCATCGGCTCCTGCATGCTCCGTACTGGGGATCGAGCCTGCAACCCGGGCATGTGCCCTGACCGGGAATCAAACCAGGACCTCTCAGTCCATAGCACAACATTCAGTCCAGAAGCCACACTGGCCGGGCCACCCCTTCTACTTTTTAAAAGCCCTTGTCAACCTGCACTTTGCTCTGCTCCAAATGATCACTTGATGGAACCTGTTCCTTTTCTCTTATTTTCATGACTGTGAAAGATCCTTTTTCATTTCTGCATTACACTTTTTCTTTACATTTATACTTTCGGTTTCTGGCTGAGACATAGATGTTCAATTGATGTGTTTGCCTGGCTGGTGTGACTCTGGATTGAGCATCGTCCCCTGCACCAAGAGTTTGCCTATTCAATTTCCCCTCGGGGCACATGCCTGGGTTTCGGGCTGACAATGTTTGGGGAAGTATGGGAGGCAGCCAGTCGATGTTTCTGTCTCATCGATGATGTTTCTATCTCTCCCTTCCTAAAATCAGTGAAAACATTTAAGAAGAATAATGGTATGTTTGATGAATCAATAGAAGGAATGAGGGAGGAAGTAAAAGGCGAGAGGGAGAAACGGAAGGAAGGAATAGAAAGTACGGAGACTGTCAGTTCTAATTAGAAAGTACATGGGACCCTCAGAAAGCAGAGCAGTGTCTCTATTCATACTATTTTTTTTTATCCTCACCCGAGGACATTTTTTTTTTCTTTTTTTTTTTTTTTCAGATAGAACAGGAGGGAGAGAGAGAGGAAGAGAGAGAGAAACTTTGATGTGAGAGAGACACATCGACTGGTTGCCACCTGCAAGATCCCAACTGAGGCCGGGGACAAACTGCAACTGAGGTACATGCCCTTAGCAGAACCGAACCCAGGACTCTCCGGTCGACGGGCCGACGTTCTAACCGCTGAGTCAAACCGGCCAGGGCTGTTCATACTATGATTTATGTAATTTATAGAAATCCTTAGAATTTGATATGATATGCCTAAATAAGCTCAGTAAAAATTCAAAAGGAAGACAAAAACAGAAATATGTTCAGGATTGGAAACTGATCAGCAAAGTACTGGACAATCCTCTAACTAGTACTAAAACTTTTCCAGAGTCAGTGACCATTAAAAATGAAACAAGCGCCCTGGCCGGTTTGGCTCAGCGGTTAGAGTGTCGGCCTGCGGTCCTGAGAGACCCGGGTTCGGTTCCCGCTAAGGGCGCGTACCTCGGTTGCAGTTTGTCCCCGGCCCTGGTTGGTCGTTCGGTGGCAGCCACTCGATGTGTCCCTTCACGTCGATGTTTCTCTCTCTCTCTCTGTTCCTCTCTCTCCCTCCCACTCTACCTGAACAAAAAAATGGAAAAATGTCCTCGGGTGAGGAAAAAAAAAAAAATGAAACAAGCCCTGGCCAATTTGGCTCAGCGGTGGGAGAGTCGGTCTGCGGGCCAGAGTCCAGGGTTCAGTTCTCACTAGGGGCATGTACCAAAAAATAAATAAATAAAAAATAAAAATGGAATGAGGTTTCTGTAAAACAGGCCTTCCATCCTAGGAAGTCAAATTTCATCTACTGTATTAATATATTTTAACACTTATGATTACAGTGTTAATAAGTATTAGCTGCCCGGCTGGTGTGGCTCAGTGGCTGAGCACTGACCCAGGCACCAAGAGGTTGCTGGTTCGATTCCTGGTCAGGACACATGCCCAGGTTGTGGGCCTGATCCCCAGTGGGGCATGCAGGAGACAGCCAATCCATGTTCTCTCTCATCGATGTTTCCATCTCTCTTTCCCTCCTACTCCCTTCTTCTTGCTCTCTAAAAAAAATCAATAAAGAAAAAAAACCAAAAGTATTAGCTTAGGGTAGAATCTTCTGGCCCCAGTAAATTGTTAATACAGATAAAGAAAGCTGTGGAATCACGGCCTGGGCTCCAGCTCTAAATGTGACCCTGTAGCAGTCATTAACCTCTTTGAGCTTATTTCCCATCTGTTAAAAAGAGGACAGTGGCCCTGGCCGGTTTGGCTCAGCGGTTAGAGCGTCAGCCTGCGAACCAGAGTTGCGGGTTTGATTCTGGTCAAGGGCACATCCTCGGTTATGGTTGGTCCCTGGCCCTGGTTGGGGTCCTGCAGGAGGCAACCAATTGATGTGTCTCTCTCACGTCGATGTTTCTCTCTCTCTTCCTCCCTCCCTCCCTCTCTATCTGAAAATCAATGGAACAATATCTTCAGGTGAGGATTTAAAAACAAAAAGAGGACAGTGATTTCTATATAGCTGACCTCAGGGTTGTGAGGGTCAAGAAGAAATATAAAAACACCTTGGGCCCTGGCCGGTTTGGCCCAGTGGTTAGAGCATCGGCCTGCAGTCCAGAGAGACCCGGGTTCGGTTCCCGCTAAGGGCGTGTACCTCGGTTGCAGTTTGTCCCCAGCCCTGGTTGGTTGTGCGGGTGGCAGCCACTCAATGTGTCCCTTTCGTGTCAATGTTTCTCTCTCTCTTCCTCTCTCTCTCTCTCCCACCCTATCTAAACAAAAAATGGGAAAATGTCCTCGGGTAAGGATAAAAAAAAAAAAAAAGATACACAAAAACACCTTGGAAAATGTGAAAATAAGCAATGTGACTTGTGGTCAGTTCACTCCCCAAGTTTTCCGAACCTGATCACAAAGACCCTGAGGGTCACAGAGGTAACAGCCATCATGCATGGGCCACTACTGAAGGCAACCACCTGCATCCCTGGCTCTGGCCCTGTGCCAGATCTAGCATCCTGCCCCCTGCTCTTGGGGGTGGCAGCCAGGTGGGCCCCCAGGTGTCATGGAGAAACACCTGTCTCCAAGTAGGAGAGAAGAATCACAGCAGCAGTCGAACCTGAGGAGATGGGGGTGGGTGTAGGGGACGAAGGCCTTGTTTTTTTAAGCACATAAAAGTTTTAAGGGACTTGTTTCAACTTAATACCATGACAAATTTCAATTCTTAACTTTATGGCTCCCTCTTACCTTCTTTCATTCACACAAGCAGTGTTGCTAACCAGCAGGAAGGACAGGATCACGAGGCTAGGAAGCGATGTGACACTGCCACCCCTCCCTGAACCCCCTCCTCCTGGAGCCTCCTGTGTCCCTCCCGGGAGAGCCCTGCCGTCGCTGTTTCCCATGAGTCGGAAACACATGAAAGAGGTGAGCGCAGTTGCTGCCTCATTTCAAACTCGCCCCACTGACACAACAAAGAAGGAATTGTGAGAACCGCTTTTGTGCTGCTGGCGGAGAGCTGGGTGCCTGTGGGCCAGAGGAGGGGTTGTGTCGCTGGTATAAAAGGTTTTATGTGGGTGTCACGATTTCTCAGCAGATCGGACTCCTCGGAGCCAAATTCAATGTGCACCTTGGGTGCAGGCCACGGCCCTGGGCACGGCAGGCCAGCTTCTCAGGCCCCGCCCCCCGCCGGAAGGCTTGCTCCTTGCTGCAAGGCCGAGGCCTGGCCTGCCCGGTCCCGCCCAGAGCACAGCGCTGCCTAAAGTGCAAGTGCAGCAACCGCTTCTAGGAGAGCTGCCAGGAAGCTTTCACAACCGGGAACAGCCGCCTCGTTGTCGGTGCTCTTGTACACGTTGCCAAACCTAGCTCATGTCTCTCCGAGATACTCTGATGAAGGAAATCTGATTCCTCTGATTGGATTATTTGGTTAAATTATTCAAATAATTTCCAATATTAAACCCTTCCAGCCTTTTCTACTTAAGTATCCAACAGTACCCACTGCGTGCCGCTCCCTAAACCCATGTCTTTATCCTCCCAGATGTTTCCACGAAGGAGGGCATATAACCCCATATTTTAAAGTCATGTTCTGCGATTTCCCTTTCTTGGCACTGCTCAGAATAAACATGAACCTGGCTTCCAGGTTTTTCCAAGTCATCTTTAAGGAAAAACAGTTTGTGTGTGCTGTTAGGAGTTGTTTAATTCATTTCGGGGGAAGTGCAGACCTTCATTTGGGATGAGTAAGTCAGTTTGCAGTTCTTTTACTTCATGTGATTATCAAATACCCATTCATTTTTTTAGGGTCAGAACTTTTGTTTAAGGCTCCATTGCTTTTTTTTTTGCCCTGGCCGGTTTGGCTCAGCGGTTAGAGTGTCGGCCTGCGGTCCGGAGAGACCCGGGTTTGGTTCCCGCTAAGGGCATGTACCTCGGTTGCAGTTTGTCCCCGGCCCTGGTTGGTCGGCCCTGGTTGGTCGTGCGGGTGGCAGCCACTCGATGTGTCCCTTTCACGTCAATGTTTCTCTCTCTCTCTTCCTCTCTCTCCCTCCCACTCTACCTGAACAAAAAATGTCCTCGAGTGAGGATGAAAAAAAAAAAAAGACTCCATTGCTTTTTTTAAAAAAAAATATGTTTTTATTGATTTCTTAGGGAGAGAGAGATAGAAACATCCATCAACTATCTTCTGCATGCCCCTGCTAGGGATTTTGCCCAAAACACAGGCATGTGCCCCAACCAGGAATCGAACTGGGAACTTTCAGTCCATGGGACAATGTTCAGTCCACTGAGTCACACGGACCGGGCTCCATTGCTGTTTTTTTAAAAGCCTTTGTAACCATTCCGTATATGACAAACTCCAAGAGGTAATAAAAGTGCTTCCTTCATTCTGACTCAGACCTTCACTCAGCATGAGGTGGAGAGGGCTGAGTGGTGGGGACATGTGACAAGCACCCTGCCCTGTGCTCAGAGGGGTCCCATTTCATTTCTTGCTTCCTTGCCTGCCTTGAGGTTGTTTCTACTGGAACACTTAAAGTACTTGAAATACTGGATATTGAAATATGTGACAGGCAGAAATAAAAATTCCACAAATTCATTCTGATACAGATACATTTTTATTTATATACCAAAGAGAAAACTAATATTCACTTCATATTAATTTTCTAGTAATTCACTGCCTAATCCGTATTCTCAATAGGGAAGGTGTTTAATTTACTCTCCACCTTTAAAAAGCTTCAAATAAAATAAAAGTAGGAAAATACATAAAGAATTCAGATTATAAAACTCTCCAGGTAATTGATGGTCATAATAACACTGGAACTACCGTTTTTAAAAGCAACTTTCTAAAGTTTGGAAGTACTGATCATCAGTACCAAATTTATCCACTAAGTTATCACAGGCAACTGTAAACAAACAGTATCAAACTGTATCACTTTCAAAAATTCATCTGAAGTTATGAACTACAGAAAAATCGATTATTCTTCCAGCTCTCCCAGAAGCTCCACAAAGTCAGTGATGTACCATTCCGCGTTGTCCTTTACTTGCTGCCTGATCACGTTTCCTCCAAATCCAATGAAAACATCCTAAGGACAAAAAAAAAAAAAAAGAGGAGTGATAGGTTTTTTAAAGAAGAGAAAAGTACACTAGCAGCCTAGGGCAGTAAGTGTTGTTTGGAAGAATAAACTGTTCGTGCAGAGACCTGAGCCCAGGTCACTCGGTGCCTCGGAGCTGAACGAGTAAGAGCCCAGGGCACATGGAAGCCGTCTTTAAACCAAGACAATTGCTCACAGAGATAAAGTCTCATCAGGTGGTGAATGTCTGAGTTCTAAACTATGCAGCCATCACATCCAGTCCAGGAGATTTCGGAGGAGAGAGGGACGGGAAGCCGGTGCTGCGGTGGAACTCCCCAGGGCCTGGAATCGGCCGCAGCCGGCGTCTCCCTACTGCTGCCCTGGTGAGCCACCCCCTCGAGGGGCGCTGTCCTCGGCTGCAGATGACACGATACCTGCTGGCAGCATTCTACTTTTCATCATTAAAATTGTTTCAAGTTATATTGTTTCACTAATTTCTGTTAAGTGATACCTTCTTTTACTCAATGATTTTTTTTTTTTTTTTTGCTTATAAACAACAGAAATTTATTTCTCACAAATTGGAAGGCTGAGAGTCTGAGATCAGGGTGCCAACATGGTCAAGTGAGGGCCCTTTTCCAAGTCTTTTAAAATGATATTTTCTCTTTTTGTGCCAGGATACAGACACGCTATATACACTAGTCTGGAAGTCCAAAATTCTCTTACTTGTCCTTTCTCTTCATTTTCACTTTCATACCCCATAGGGGAAAACACATAACTAGATGCTTACCTTCCAGTTAAACTAGCCTCCTCCCTGCGCTTCCCGCCTCGGGGCAGCCCTGTCCCCAGCCAGGCCCACGGGCTGTGCTGCCTTGTAACGCTCCTCTCCCCAGAGTCTAGGGCTTCCCAGGACTCACAGGTAACACCCAAGTGCCTGGTGAAGTGCGGGGTCTGTATCAGTTGCTGAAGAGAAAGCCCACTCCTGCTCGGCCTCGCCACTGACCAGCCGAGAACTAGGCCTAGGACCCCCGCCCCCGCCCCGCTCTGCTGCCTCCCTTTCTCTGCACACTTCGCCCTGGAGCCCGGCCAGGCCTGCGCCTGGGGCTGCTAACCTCGTCACAGGTTCCTCTGACCACCTTCCCAGGGCTACACACCTGCATACGCACCACCTTCTGCTTCAGTCAGGCTCTTGATAATTTTGGAATATAATTATCCATTCTATTCTGGAATTTAGAATCTGCCATATCTCGACACGGACTGGGAGCTCCCTGAGAGACACTGCGTTAATGTCTGTGTACCCCTCAGACATTAATCAGTGTTTGCGACACCAGCCCGAGCTCCTTACTCAGTCAACCCAAGGTGGGTTATAGATCATCTAAGAATGTGTTATCCTGAAGTGACTCAAGCAATGTTAAAAGTTTCCAAAAATATTCTTTAACCACTTTTGATTAATCATTTACAGAGGCAATGGCTATTTTTAGATCTCAGGAAATTAGGTAGTAAAAAAGTTTACCACTATATTTTTGGTTCAGTTTTTCTTGAGGTAGAATGAGATGATAAAGGCAAAGTCCTATGTGAAATGGACACATTTGACATTTAGGACACTTACTATACAGCATTTGTGTCCTGCTAGTCTCAGAAAACAAATTCAGAAGAATGTTTTAACACAGGTCCCGTTATAGAAGCTCCAGGAGCCTCGGCTCCCCAGTCAGTAAAAAGGAGGTAATACTTCACCTCACAGGGCTGTTATGAGGATTAAATGACATAATGGATGTGGGAATAGTTTATCCAATATAAAAAGTCATAAAAGTGTTGATTACAGTTATAAGAGCTGTATTATTTGTGGTATTATTTCAGGAAATGAAGCCAGACTTTGTGAAGCACACACACAGGCCCAAGGTGGCCACACAGCAGGGACTGGAGGTGGATGAAAGTTAAAAAAAAAGCTTAGTTCCTTACTTGCGACCTTTCTTGGGTTTGCAAAAGGCCAACTGACATATTGAGATTAAATTTGTTTTCTTTATTGTTTTTATCTTACAATGATATTTAGATTTTTTGCTTAGCTCTCATAAATCCCACTGAACTCTAAAGCAGCTAAAACAAAAGCGCAACCAGAAAAAGATGAGCACACTTCATACATACAGCAGGAGGGCAGGCTTCCATGTCTGTGGCCCCATCTCCAATCATGACAATTTTCTTAAAGTGAAATTTTTCCTTTAAAAGTTTAATAACTTTTCCTTTCCCACCGGATTCAGCTGTCGGCTGCATCTCATCAAAACCTGCATATTCACCTTAAAAGAGAAGTTAAAACAGTGTTAAAGACACACAGAATTCTTTCGGTAGGGTCAGCTTTTTGCATGGATGATATCCTCACTTACATGTCACTGAGAAAACTAAGACTGGGCCTCAGAAAAGTGACACAGCCTGGATTTCCACATGGGGTCCTCAGAATAAACAAGCTTTGCTTTTAAAATACATATACAAGGTTACTCCTTTATGACATAAATACCTCGGGATAAATTTGTTTTATCCTCTAAGCTTCCAGTGTGGTAATTCTCAAACCTTTGAAGGAAGGTAGCAGACTACCATGAAATAGTAATATATTACATTTAAAATAAGCTAATAGAGCCCTGGTCAGTTTGGCTTAGTTGTTAGAGCATTGGCCCAAAGACCAAAGGGTCGCAGGTTTGATTCTCGGTCAAGGGCACATGCCTCGGTTGTGGATTCAATCCCTGGCCCTGGTTGGGTCGTGCAGGAGGCAACCAATTGATGTGTCTCTCTCACATCAATGTTTCTCTCTCTCCCTCCCTCCCCCCTACTCTAGAAAAAAAAAAAAAAAAACAGTGGAAAAATATCCTCAGGTGAGGATTAAAAAAAATAAATAATACATAACTTCATCTAAGAGGAGATTCTAACTTATATTCGATCACTTATTGCCATTCTTACAGTAATTACCACACTCATTCTCTACTTCTTTTTTTTAATGATTTCTATCTATAGACCGTTTGAAAGTGTTCTATTAAAATTGTTAATATTATATCTGGAGACATCTTAAGATAATAGAAAACTACAGCTGTGGCTCTGTGACGGTCCTTAAAGAGGCCAGAGGCAGCTACAGTGCGGTGACTTGCTAACAAACTCTCCTTCCTGAGTCTAAATCGGTTCAAGTACACGAGAGCGTTCATGAAACTGAAATATAATGCGTAACAAAATCAGTCATGTGCGTTACACAGAAATGAACATTTTACTAAGTACAGGCATTTGCATACTGATAGACGCTGATGTGAATATTAAAGCTAGGAGAGATGACCACCGAAGTCTACTCTGCTGAGCAAAGGACTCCAAGGAGCAAACAACATACGTCAATCAAGAGAATTCTTTATCTCGGTATTTAACCCTGATGCCTCCTCACTAGGTCGCCTTCCAACAGATATTCCCTAGAATGTTGGAAATTAAAACTGGTAAGAAAGGGAAAATGTTACCATTCAAGTCTTACCATTAAAGTAGAATTTCAGTCTATTGGCAAATACATTGGTGGGCGGGATATTCAGCTTCGCAGCAACGTGCTCCACGATGCTCCTAAAGCCACCAGATATTAGGAAAACTTGAACATTTCGCTCTTGTAGGCGACTTACTAGCTCCCTGCACAAAATAAATGTAAAATAACCAAACACTGATTAATATAAAAGAAAAAACATAAAAAGGACACTAAAATGTTGTTTTTCTCCTTAGTGCATTTGCCCAAGGTACATCGGACAAAGGATATTGCCTGGTGAATTCATGTTTTATATATGTTTTTCTAAATGCACTTATAAATTAAAGGGTAGGGGGCTTGACTGCTCTAGGAAACCATTCGCAACTCTTTTCTTCCCTTTTAGACCTAGAAACACAAGATGAAGAGGAGGCTTATGCTCTCCCTAGGGAGAGGGGGAAGGCAGACATGGGCGGATCACTTACGTAAGTGCCAAAGAACCACAGAAGGGAGCTCTAAAGTAATGGTGAGGAGGGGACTGGAAAGAAGGTGAAGAGATTAGCCAAAGAACGTATTTACATTACATAGCCCATGGACATGGACAACAGTGTGGTGATGGCCAGGGAGTGGGGGCAGGGGCTGGGTGGAAGCGGGGGACAATTTAAAAAAATTAAACTTATTATTTGTCCTCATTTTTTTAAAAAAAGGGGGGAATAGTGAGATGCTCTCAGGAAAAGGACGCACCCCGGAAGGCAGGTGTTGATAGGGAGACAATATACCCAGACCAGGGTTCCTCTTACCTTATGCCAGGAGTCAGGTGTGGGGGGCGCTCTGCTAGGAGCCTTTGCACCTGTTCCCTGGAGGGCTGGATCAGCGCTAAGCGCTCTGTGAGGGCAGCCTTGAAAGGCACTGCTCCGCCCATGGCTCGCTTTGTCCTAGGGGGAAGACCCAACCATCAGGCCAGCCCAGTCAGCTGTTCTCCAGGTTTCCATGCCTAACCTTCCCAGCTCCTCACAACACCCGCCCACGAGGAAGGTGCTGCCTACAGCCCCACTGTATAGCCGACAAGCTATGCTGCTGTGAGAGTAAACTGCTGAAGGTGTGCTTGAGAATCACATTAATAAGCTAAATGCAGCTGAACGTGCAATGGTCCCTGACCTGACAGCTGCAGACAGCACCAAGAGGGGCAGGGGGGGCTCTCACCCAGGCATCCACTGAGCTAGCTTTCCAGCAAACCACTGAGGCCACACTGTCCACCACGTGGTCTTTGGTGAGTGATGGTCCCTGTTCCCCTGACCAAGCAAAGAGTGTCTCATCCATATTTGTTTATGAGAAGCAATTTTTTTGCCCTAAATATTTATATAAGTGGATGATGAGACCATGGATACTACTCAGTTCAGCTCTGAGTGATGGGAGAAAAACCCTCGTGCCCATGTTTCATAACCAGGGACTAAAATCAGGGAATTGTGGCTCTGATGCTGCATGTCATCCAAAAGTTCTTCTCTTTTGAACTTCTTTATCATTTCATATAGTAGAAATACTGTTCCTACATTTCTGACACGGCATCTGCAACTCCACAGATTTTGGCCAGCTCATCAATTCCTTCTTCCCTGATGACGGTGCTATCAACATCAAAGCACACTGCGTCTGCCGAGCAGAAGAGTTTCCTCAGCTCCGAGTGGGAGACCATCCTGAGAAGAATTTTCCTCCTACAACAAAAAAAGATAAACCTATTTAAAGACATAAAATATGAGCATACAATGGTCCAATTTTGCCTACTAATGCCAAAGTACCTTGATTTGTATCAAAAGCATGCACTCATGGACTCATTCCTTTTTTTTTTTAAATGCTTATCCGAGGATATTTTTCCATTTATCTTCAGATAGAGTGGGAGGGAGGGAGAGAGACAGAGAGAGAGAGAGAAACATCCATGTGAGAGAGACACATCGGTTGGCTGCCTCCCGCACAACCCCAACCAGGGCCAGGGACCAAACCACAACCAAGGTAGGTACCCTTGACCGGAATCGAACCTTCGACTCTTTGGTCCACGAACTGATGCTCTAACCATTGAGCAAAGCCGGCCAGGGCGACTTATTCATTTTTTAACACAGATTAAGCACCTTCTAAATGTCAGGCTCTGGGGTTACAAAGATGAGCAGACCCAAAAGTCTGTTCCCAGCAACTCAGTCTAGTAAAGGTAACAACTTGTGAATATATATTGATGCTCAATCAATACGCGACTATTTTTGACCTAATAATAATAGCAATAAGGCAAGTACTAAAATAGGCACACACGAAGAAAATCTTTAAATCTTGTCTATGCAACAGGGCTCCCAGGAGGCATGGACATAGGAGCTGGATCTTGAAGGGCAAGTGGCCCTCTGCGTGGGTTCTCAAAAAGCAGGGCATCAATGTGGGGTGTGCTGGGAGTAGGAAGGAGGGAGATGGAGGCAAGGAGAGAGGGTGGTGATGGCAGAGAGCGGGGAAAGGCACTGACAAAGGCATGGAGGAATAATGGATAACGTGCTGGAAGCTGCCACATGGCTCAGTCCAGCTCCCAAGCAGTGCACCAGGAATTCAGACCAACAGGGCCCTTGGGCCAGGCTCAGGAGTTTGGATTTTAACTTCTAGGTAATGGGGAACCTTGGAAGGCTGTATGCCTCAGAAGAGAGGTCAGAGCTAAACATACACGTGTGTTCGTCAGCAGTGTAGAGGCGGTAACTGAAGGTGTGGCCTGATCACAGTCACCAGAGCGAAGAAGAGGGAAAAAAGAACAGAGCTGGGAACAGAACGCACCGGAATGGACCCATCATGTCAGGAGCCTGGGAAAAAAATGAAAAGGAGAGATCACAGGAAGAAATTCTGGGAGACCACAGTGCTGCAGAAGCTATGGAGGACAGTTTGAAAAAGAATTTTGAGCCCTGGCTGGTTTGGCTCAGCGGTTAGAGCGTCAGCCCGCAGACCAGAGTCCCGGGTTCGCTTCCCGCTAAGGGCACGCACCTCAGTCGCAGTTTGTCCCCGGCCCCGGCTGGGGTCATGTGGGTGGCAGCCAGTCAATGCGTCTCTCTCACATCAATGTTTCTCTCTCTTCCTCCCTCTCTCCCTCCTGCTCTATCTGAAGATAAATGCAAAAATGTCCTTGGGTGAGGATTTTTTTTTTTTTTTAATCCTCACCTGAGGATATTTTTCCATATTTTGTACAGATAGAGTGGGAGGGAGAGAGAGGAAGGGAGAGAGAGAGAGAAACATCGACATGAAGGGACACATCGAGTGGCTGCCACCCGCACGACCAACCAGGGCCGGGGACAAACTGCAACCGAAGTACGTGCCCTTAGCGGGAACCGAACCCGGGTCTCTCCGGACCGCAGGCCGACGCTCTAACCGCTGAGCCAAACCGGCCAGGGCTGGGTGAGGATTTTTTTTAAAAAGAAAGCCCTGGCCTGTTTGGCTCAGCGGTTAGAGCGTCGGTCCGCGGTCTAGAGAGACCCGGGTTCGGTTCCCGCTAAGGGCATGTACCTCAGTTGCAGTTTGTTCCCTCCCAGACTATCTGAACAAAAAATGAAAAAAAAGAACGAAAGAAAGAAAAAGAATTTTGAGGTTTTTTATTTTATTTATTTTATACTCACCCGAGGATATTTTTCTATTTATCTTCAGATAGAGAGAGACGGAGAGAAAGGGATAGAGAGAGAAACATCGATGTGAGAGGGACACATCAACTGGTTGCCTCCCCAACAACCCTGACCAAGGCCAGGGACAAAATGCAACTGAGGTACGTGCCCTTGGCTGAAATCGTACCCGACACTCATTGGTCCGTGGGCCAAGGCTCTACTACTGAGCCAAACCGGCCAGGGCGAGGTTTGTTTTTTTTTTAAGAATCATGGGAGTAAACGGGATCCTAGAGGTTGCTGAGACCAGTCTCCCCCCAAAGAGACTAATGTGTCATGAACAAGACCACAATGAATGATGTAAGTAATCTGTATTTAGAATAGACAGTCTGAAAACAGACTCACAGGAGCTGACCAACTCACTTCGTGACTGATTTCTAAACAATGAATGTGGCAGAACGATCCAGTTCAAAGCTGACCTGGGGAAAAAAATGTCTTTTAAGCCAGGGGTTGGCAAACTACAGCCAACAGGCCAAATCCACCTGCCACCTGTTTTAGTGTGGCCTACGAAGAATGGTTTTTACATTTCAAATAGTTGAAAAAATCAACAGGAGAATAATATTTTGTAACATGTCACCTAAAGATAAAGGGCCCAAGTGAGAGGTAACAAGCATTTGCGATCCACAAGAATAGATATTTGGGAAGCACTGATTCTGAATGAAACCCAGAGAGTGCTCTGATTAGAAGTCAAGGAGTATTTATGAGAAAGGAAAGGGAATGATTATATCAGAAGAAGGAAGGAATTTGTATAGGTGCAGATAAGATGACATAGTGGCACTAATTCCAAACAATGTTTTTAATTTTCAGTCCAGTAGGTCCCTAGAGTCACATATCTGATTTCCTGTTACCTTTGCAAACAGTGGTCTGGGATACAGTGCTGCTTTAGGCCCAATCCAAAGGCTATTTTGCCCAGTTTTAACATTCTAAAAACTTGAGACATAGATTCGAAAGGCAGTCCCTCTAGGATGACAGCTCCAACTCCATTTTATTTTTATTTTTTATTTTATTTTATTTATTTATTTTTTTATCCTCACCCGAGGACATTTTTCCATTTTTTGTTCAGGAAGAGTGGGAGGGAGAGAGAGGAACAGAGAGAGAGAGAAAGAGAAACATCGATGTGAAAGGGACACATCGAGTGGCTGCCACCAGCACGACTGACCAGGGCCGGGGACAAACTGCAACCGAGGTACGCGCCCTTAGCGGGAACCGAACCCGGGTCTCTCCGGACCGCAGGCCGACGCTCTAACCGCTGAGCCAAACCGGCCAGGGCTTATTTTTATTTTTTAATCATTTTTTTTCCTTTACTGATTTTAGAGAGAGAGAAAGTGAGAGGGAGAGAGATCGAGACATCAACGAGAGAGAACATCGATTGGCTGCCTCCTGCATGCCCCCCACTGGGGATCTGGCCCACAACCTGGGCGTGTGCCCTGACCAGGAATCGAACTGACGACCTCTTGATGCCTGGGTCGACGCTCAACCACTGGGCCACACTGGCTGGGCTCCAACTCCATTTTAAAGTGGCTCTGGCCCTGGCTGGTTTGGCTCAGTGGTTAGAGCGTCGGCCTGCGGTCCCGAGAGACCGGGTTCGGTTCCCACTAAGGGCATGTACCTTGGTTGCAGTTTGTCCCCGGCCCTGGTCGGTCGCGCGGGTGGCAGCCACTCGATGTGTCCCTTTCACATCGATGTTTCTCTCTCTCTCTTCCTCTCTCTCCCTCCCACTCTACCTGAACAAAAAATGTCCTCGGGTGAGGATAAAAAAAATAAAATAAAATAAAATAAAGTGGCTCTGGCCCTGGCTGGTTTGGCTCAGCCATTAGAGCATGGGCTGGCATATGGAAGGGTCTCTGGTTTGATTCCTGGTCGAGGGCACATACCTGGGTTGCAGGTTCAATCCCTGGCCCTGGTCAGGGTCCTGCTGGAGGCAACCAATCTGTGTGTCCCTCTCACATCGATGTTTCTCTCTCCATCCCTCCATCCCCTTCCACGCTCTCTAAAAATCAATGGAAAAATATCCTCGGGTGAGGATTAACAAAAAAAAAATTTTTTTTTAGTGGCCAATTATTTATTTATTTATTTTTAAATATGTTTTTATTGTTTGTTTTCTTTTTTTTAAGAGAGAGAGGAAGGGAGAGACAATAACATGGATGTGAGAGAGAAACATGGATCGGCTGCCTCCTGTATGCCCCCAATTGGGGATGGAGCCTGCAACCTGGGCCTGCACCCTGACGGACAGAAAATCAAACTGGGACTTCTGTCCAAGGGCCGACCCTCAATCTACTGAGCAGATTGGCTGGACCCCAATTTTTTTTTTTACAGACACATGAAAGTTACATGAAATTCAAAATTCAGTGTTCATAAATAAAGTCTTATTGAAATAGAGCCAATATGGCAGGAGAGGTAAGTCTGTTTCTGGCCCCCTACGCTGTTGAAACAGTGAACAATGGAGTCTGAGAAGCTTCTGGATTGGAGGAGAGTCAAAATTATTCCCTGTAACTAGGACTTGGGTTCCTACTTATACTACATTTTAGGGTAAAAAATAATAGATATGCGTTGGGGAACCTGAGATTTTATGCATATCACATAGGTTACAGCAAACAAGTTTTAACATTTAGAATTGTGAGGAGCGGAATGCTAACACACAGACAAGAGACAAATCTGACTCACGTTCCTCCAGTGCCGGATCCCTAGGAGACACTCTTCTCTTCCTGCTTCTTTCCTTAATAAAAATGCAGCATACGGTTCTGACTACAAATTTCTTTAAGAGAGCTCTTGTGAGTTCTGCAAGAGCGAGAAGGGCCTGGCTGGCCGGTGTGGCTCACTGGACTGCGTGTCAACCAAAGAACTGAGAGGTCCCGGTTCGATTCCCAGTCAGGGTACATGCCCGGGTTGTGGGCTGGATGCCTGGTTGGGGCATGCAGGAGGCAGCCAGTCGGGGTTTCTCTCTCACACTGATGTTTCTATCTCTCTCTCCCTTCCTCTTGCTCTAAAAAAATCAATGAAAACCTATTTTTCAAAAAGAAGAACCTAGAAACAAAGTACAAGAA